AGTTTTCCCACGGATTCCAGAGGCTCAGAGCGGCCGTGCTTTTGATGATGGCCTTTGTATACGCGGTATTGTTCCTATTATAAGATCCCGTTTTATGTAGGCAGACTAAAGGGGATGACTAAAGCCCGTGGATTTCCGCCCGACTGATGAGAAGAAACATCCAAGCGGCCAACCTCAAACCGCGCGGCCATGGGAAGAGGCACGTTTCCGGTGGGATAAGTGTTTGGGAGGTCCATCGCTTGCCATATTGATCCCTGTGGACCATTGCGCTTGGGAGTTCACTTGCTGGTGCGATGGCTAGGGAATGACCCAGGGTTTGGGGAATAAACGTAGGGGTCCCCTTAAGGAAAACCACCAGTTGGACGGCTTATAGGCGTAGTTCCCTCATTCCCTGCCTATCATGGTGCACGCCCTGACGCCTTTTGACCTTTTGGAGCTCTCCAGCCGTTCTAAAGCTCGGGCCGAAGAGCCCTTGAGAAGTTGCCCAGTGGACATCTCAGCGAAAAAAATTCTGGAAGCCTTGGCCTATATGCGAGCGTGACATTGAAATGGTCCAAAGGTCTGCACAAAGTGCAGGAAGATGGTCAATCGACTTTCTTCAGATCCCGCGAAAAACATCAAAGGATTGGTGGGATGGATCCCTTTCCTTCTGCTGATATTCAGAGGAGTGATTACAAATACTGCTCGAAGTTCGAACATCTGGGCTGATCTACTGCAGACTCTTGGGTCGCCCAGGTTCCCAGGAAAAGAAGCCAGGGGCGGAAGGGTGAGCTCCGCTTGGGCCGTTAAGAAAAGTCATCTCTAGCATGTTGAGTTTGAGGTTCTCTCATAGGTTGGCGGTTTCTGCCCAGCTCCCTTGGTTGCGTCTGTGGGATTTCTGCAGGAGATGGGAACTTGTTCTGGGTAGAGAGCAATGAACGAAACGCACCGAAATCCCCGACAAATGGGCGAAAATTGCAAAACGCCGAGCCTGATGCCCTTCTCAAATTTTGAGGGGGTTGGCCCGACAAAGCCCACACGGTTTGCTTTCCCCGCACATTATATGAGCTTTCTCAAAGCAAACTAGACTGGGCGCCTTTCGCTCGTTTCTTGTGGCTCCCCCGACCGACCCCGCTCATGCAGAAGAGGGCCGATGCATTCAGAGCCTCAGCAAGGTGCGGAGCGAGATTCTGGAGGTGAGCTTTGAAGCGTCCAAGACCACCCGTGTACCCTCTAACTTGTCATTCCCTTTAGTTGGCTGGTTCAATTTGGGATACCCGGTAATGATCGTCATTCCGCCTTTCGGATAATTTTAACCTCATCTTGTAGCCTTTTGAAAGGGAAATCCGAATCTCTCCGGATTGCTACCAACCGGGAAGAACGGGCTGAATCGGGAGTCAGCCTGAAGCCCCGAGTTGGCCACTCCTGGTGATTGATTCGCAAAGTTCGCAAGTTGCCAAGTTGCACCCGTTTGGGTATGAAACCACTTAGAAGTTGTACCTGTGAATGTGGGGTTCAGCTGTTTAAACGGGGTATACCCCAAGTGGGATATATTGGAGATATGCCCCCGCTCTTGGAAAATGAAACGGGACGCTCCAAAGGTGAAAGCCGACGCAAAGAAGCCCTGGTCCCGTTAACCCAACAGGATGCTGTTTGATCAAGAGTGGATGATGGGAGCTTGAGCTGGCAGCCACTCTCGCGGTTTGAAACATCACCTTTCTAGGGGTTGAGTCCGATTCCATTCTTTTCAACCATCGTTCTTTCCAAAAACCGGATTCGTTATCAACCTGGGTTTCCCGAGGTGTTCTAGAAAGATCCGGATCCCTGGAAAGAATGGGAAAGGTACCCCTAGAGCCTTGGGAAAGTCTGGAAGGTTCCTCTTGGAGAGGGCCCTTCAACTGGACACCTCCTCAGAAGTGGTTGGAGATAAACCCTATGTGCATGATGCCCGAGGATCTCTAAAATTGATTCCCACCAAAAGAAGATGGTCCAAACCCAGATGATGTGTGTCAAAATGGGAGCAGCCCATTTTTGACAGGTGCGGCACAAAAAGAAGCAACAAGGGAACCCTCACAAAACACAAGCACACACACGCAAAATAGAACCCCTTCCAAATCCGAGCTTACCTGGGTGTGTCTTTGTGTCGGGGACCCCCCAAAATATTGTGCTTGGTTCTCCTCTTGGCTTCTTTTCGAACTCCCACCAAAACCAAAGGCACCGAGGACCGAGCCCCAAAAAAACAACAACAAAAAAACGGCCCACGCCGCAGCCGGCAGACGGCCACAGCTGGAGGCCCCCGGCGAGCGCCGTAGCCTTTGGCCAAGTAGAGCAAGAGGCCGTTTCGCTTCTCCGGGAGCCTCTGGGCCGTTCCATGTCGTGAAAGGAGTGGCGCAGTTGCTTGCTGGTGCCATAGGCAGGGAATGAGTTGAAATGACCGCCGAGAAGAACCATCCATGCTGGTGGCTTTTGTTTGAGGGGATCATTTCCATGAAAGGAGTGGCACCCGATTTGGCTTGCGATCGGTGGATTCGAGAGATGCAGGGAATGAGAAGTGGAAGGACCCGAGAAAAGCCATCCATCTGGTGGTTTCTCTTTGAGGGGATCCTAAACGGTTCATTCCCACATTCCCTACCTATCGCACCAGCAAGTTTGTTTAGGCACTTGGGTGTTCGTTGCCAAGAGGAAACACATTGTTACGGTAGCCGTTCGGGTATAGCCCACTTTTCAGTGGGGCCCTCTAAGTTGTTCTGGGAGGGTATAACCCATTTTTTAGGTTACTCAAAATTCGGGCACACCTTAATTGGTGGTTTGGATTGGTGCGAGGATTTGCACCCCAGTTCCCTTGAACCCAAGTGGGGGTTTGGTGCTTTAAAATAAGGTGAACGTCACCGAACCTTTCAATGGGGATCTGGGGTCAACCTCCCCCAATTCCATGTAGGTGAGAAGGAGAATAACAACAACCATGGCCTAGGAAATCCTAGGAAGCCCGTCCAAGGGGGCCCATCGGAGATGCCTCTACAAATTCCCGGCGTTCGATTTGTCAGGGAGTCACATGGGGTGAAGACTCGGGGACTTCGCCGAAGGAAAATCCAGGCCGGTCTATGGGATTTCTCGTTTGACGTCACGAGGGAAACCCGCAACCCCCAAAAAACAGAAACAAGTTGTGCCGCTTTAGGTCCCAAATCTGCAAGTCCTCCCCAAGTCCTCCCCAATCGACTAGCAGTATGTAGTTTTGTTCAGCTGCTCATCATGTTGACTCCGGTTTAATCAACCTTGCGGATAACTGAAGGGGGGTGTTCCCGCTGAAAGTGAAGGATTCCCTCGGGGACACCCCTATGAAGCAGCCAAGGGTTTCTTAGGCTGTTTGGATGTGCAACCTCAGTAGGTAGCCATGGTTCTGACGGGGCCCACCCCCGTTACTCTAATTATTCCCAAAGTCACAACCTACTACCCAGTAGGATGAGCATCCCAAAATCAACCCTCACCCCCAATTCAACCAGGGCTTTAGCATCTAAGTGGGTTGAACATCCCTGTGGCCTTTTTGAACATCCTAAGCTGGGATACCCCCCCCCACCCCCATTTACAGGGGTCACTGGATTTCCGCTTCAAAAGGTGCAATTGACTGGCGGTTTCCCTTGACACGATCGCCACTTTTGGAGGCTCCAAAAAGCGGAATGGCTCGGATCCCCCCCCCCCCCCCGATTTCGGCAGTTGACCTTTCTACCCCTCCCACCCTTTTCACATAGAACCTGACCTTCTTGGGGGCTCCTGGTTTCATGGGGGCTGGGGGGGAGGGAGGAGGGGGGAGGGAGCTCAAATAAGCCCTACATAAGGCCTTATTAAGAGCTTAATAAGGGCTTAGTTGGGCTCCCCCCCCCTCCTCCCTCCCCCCCAGCCCCCATGATGGTGGGGGCCATCTTCCTTCTCACCGGGGCCGTTTTCCTTTCGTCGGCTCCCAGGTCCTCAGGTCCCGGCTTCTCGATCAGCTTCCTGGCCGCCTCTTCGGCTTCCGCCTGGCATCGAGTGATCCCCAACTTCGGGGGGGTCGACTTGGCCGGAAAAATGATCGACCAACTCGTGAAGGGTTCCTTTTTGAGGGGGTCGCCGAAATTTTCGCGCAAAAGGTTGGGCGCACCCAAAGCGATCCGGCAAATGGGAACCCCCTCCTGAACCAACACACCAGTAGACACGCCGACTCATAGAACGGCGACGTTCTAAGGGAATAGGGGCTCCTAGGTCAAAATGTGGGGGGGGGGGGGTCGCTTCCTCAGCCTCACGAACATAGAGCGGAGACCTGTTCTCACGATATGGCCCATGTCTAGATCCTCCAAAATTGAGAGGTTAGAATAAGGGTACCCGATTTTTGTTCTGTAGTCTATTTTAGTAGGGAAACCCTCCCCCAAAGAAGGGGCAAAAGAGCACCTAGCTGGGGGACCTAGATGTTGTTTCACATGAAGGTCCTTTCACACTCTCCAACACAGTAGAAAGACCCACTATCCAAAACAGTGACCCACTGGGGTCGCTGTAGAAGGATTACGCTTGTCACTTTTACAAACCACATTTATTTAGGAACACCCATTTGAGGGATGCCCAGTTTCAAGAAGCAATGTGGAGGAACAACAGTTCGCATCACTTGGGATGGATGAACCCCAAAAAACCCTGGGATAAGCCACCTACCAACCGGCGCGAAGTGGATCTCGTCCATCCACAGTATGCCTTTTCAGGCCTAAGAATTCGACGCGGGCGCGTCAAGACCTGCAATCCCAGGTTGCTGTTCACATTTCCCTCCCACCATGGAACCCGACCGTCGGGACTCTTGGTTTGGACCATGCTTCGGGTCCCGTTCGACCGGTTCAAGGTTCCGGCCAGGGTACAACTCGGCAAGAGACGGACGGCTAGGCCAATTGGTGGGGAGCATGTCCCTATCCGAAAACGGGGTAGGCACCGCACCCTTCAGGGAATGAGTGCAAACTCTGAGAAGAACCAGTACGTACTATGTGTGGGAGTTGAACGTGTCGTTCTTGAAACACTCGGCGCGAGGTCCATGACATACTTATTCTTGCCACCAACTCTGCCCCACCCCTCATTGTTCTGGGTAAATCGAAGATGTTGCGCCAAATCCCTACCCAATATGATGCTGCAGGCCCATCTCTCATTGTCGCCCATCTAACTGACTGGTAGGTTTCCGACTCTGACTCCCAGAAAGTCAAAGGTATTGACCCCAGGAGTCTTCGGCATGTTAGCTCTCATGAGGGCGTTCATTCACGCGGTCTGTGCCACAACACATAAGCCTTTTAGGAGAGCCATCGCCCATCCATGTCCCTCGGGCTAAAGGCGACTCTGGTGTGGGTGTGTCAGAACTTGCGACCATGGCAACAGTTTCATCCTGATTTCCTTAAAACCATTCTGAGCAGGTGCCCCATCTTGATACGAGCCATGGTCAAAAACTACTCGCTTCCCGAACAGGACGGAGAAAAATCACGAGCTCGCCCCCTGGTATTTGTTGAAATTTGGGGCTCCGAAGCCCAAATGGACTGTAGACAAATCCAGCAAATTCAACTTGAAACCCAATATGAAACATCACAGCCTTCAATGTCCAACTCAGCTGGGGGGAGTTGTCAAAATTGGGGGGCTCTTTTTGGGATCCGCTTTAAAAGGGAGCACAAGGTGGTCCACAAAGGGCCCATGTTGTGACAAGACAGACCATCAAAACGGGGTTCCTTTACACTAGGAACATGCCACTCATGAACAATTGACACTTAGACCATCGTACATTCACCTTGTGAGCCTCTCCGACCAACAACTTGTGCGGATATCATGCCCAAGCCTAGCATATAGACAATGCGCAATATTGCTTAGACAATGCCAAACGGCTTGCCGTGTTCACTCCATCAACAGCATGAAGGCCACTTCTGATGGGTACTGGCGATCATTCCGAGAACAAGTAGTATGTGACCGGACTGCACGTTGGTCACATGTTGCGCATCTGACTGTTCACTCAAGATGGACTTATTTGCGGAGTCCCCTATCCTAATTCCATCCCCACACATGGACACCCTCCGACCCCTTGATTGGAGGGCTCCTTTTGATGAAGGAATCCTCTCCGCTAGCCAGCAGAATTTCCCATGATCATTTACCTGCTAAAAAAAAGACTTCAAGGGCAAAAGGCAAATGAGACAGCGACCGATGCACAAAAGCTCGTAAAGTTCTGTAGCTGCGCTAAGAACTTTAGCACGGGGCCGCCATTTTGGGCGCCCGCCCCCAGTTTTCAGACTTGGAACCATCGGACATGACCTAATGCACTGGGCTCAGGTCCCCTGCTAAAAAGTTTCGCTTGTAGTGGGAAAAATGGAACCCCACCCCCCATGAAGGCAACGAAAAAGCTAAGGGGATGTGGGTTACCTACTAAAACCCAAAGTTGAATTTGTAACATTAAATCGGCTAAAAGCCTGAAAAGCAAAGGAACCGAATGGCTAGGAGCTGCCAGGAAAGTTCTGATGTCCAAGGGCACAAGCTGCCGTGTGCGCCTCCCCAGCAACCAGCGCACTGCTGGCATGGCCTACCGGTACCCAAGACCGAACTCATGCTTGGAGGTAGCTTGCTATCTTGATAGATATGTGTGCATCTCTATATCCATATGTCTATCTCCTTCTCTTGCTCTATATCTATATCTAAATCTAAATCTCTATAATGCGTCCGTCCGTCCGTCCGTCCGTGCATCCATCCATCCATCTGTCCGTCCGTCCGTCCGTCCATCCGTCCATCCATCCATCCTTGTGGGTACCTCAACCTGTAAAGTCCTGCATGGACTATTTAAACACAACACATTGTTTGTATATCGAATTATGTACTACTTTTGAGATTCTTCAAAGTTGCGGCGCATCGGTTCAGCCGCAAAAACACTATGAGAGTTCTGCTTGTACAACATGGGGGAGTAGGCTGCCAAGAAGTTGTTTAACCAGAGGTGAAACACCATATTCGACGATTGTGAAACTGGTGTTCAGCAAAGCTGATTGTCATGGAAGCTCATGCAATGTGGTTCATCTTCAAGGCCTCTCTTTTCATGCAAGGTGGATCTTAGGGAGGGGGGCCATGTGATACACATACTTGCATGCATGCGAAAACGCATATATACTCAGCCCTTTGAGGCTTTGTTCAGGAAAACTTGTTTTGGAACGACCCGAACAACATGCTGGCTTCACGTTCACCAGGCTGGTTGGTAATGTGGCTGGGGAAGTCCCTCAGCGGAGTTTGCCTTTCGAGCCCTTTCTCAGGGATCCTTACATTATACACCTGAACATTGCCTTGTCAATGGCGGTTTCCCTTTGTTTTGGGGGAAAAAGCCATGTTTCAAATGGGCAAAATGTATCTTTTAAGGAGCCCTGTTTCTCAAGAGAGGCGTTCAGCACGCGGGATCGCACCTGGAAAGCGATCCTGCGCCTCCCAACATCGCTGAGCTTCGTCGGCGTACTTGGAAAGTCAAGATCAGGGTACAGACCCCGAAAGGTCCTATCTAAACACAATGCGACCCAAGCTTTTGTGAAGACTGGTATTGAAATGAAAGGCCTCGCCCCCTTTTCCGTATTGAGGTGAGTTTGCTGGCTTCAAAGGACACCTGAAAGTTGCCGTAGCAGTTTTCTACCCAAGGGCTTGGCAACATCTTAGGCTCGAGGCAGACCAGAGGAGAACACCACTTCTTCCATTTGGTTAAGACCCCTAAAAAATAAAATAAAATAAAAATAAACAATTGTGCAGTAGTTGTAGATTCCCAGCAAAACCAACAGGGGAAAATCAAGTAAAAACAGTCTTAAGCAAATGGAAGACTTGTGACCGATGCCGGTGAGCCGCATGCGCCTCGCGCGAGCTTCGCGACACTTGCCGCGGCGCCTCTCAGTGCGCGGCGTGCCGCGACGCGGGCGAGGGCGCGCATGGCGACGTCGATGCGATGGAGTGAGGCGCTGGGGGAATTGGGGGCTCAAAGCTCGGCAGTCTAACGAAACAAAGGCTCCAAATGAAAGAAGCGCGTGGAAACTCTGCAGCAAACTTCAGCAAGGGAAATGGTTGAAGCTGCTTAAGTCGCAACGTGGATCTGTGGCTCGGGGTGGTTTTCTGCTTCGCGGCTTGAAGGACAATTGTCTCCTCATGGTTTCAGACCATTAGTTTGAGCCATGGGTGCTAGAGCTTGCTCCGGGAGCAACGCACTTGGCAGATCGCGACACGGCAAGTTGCATGTTCAACTCCTCACGCCGGTACCGTTCTTGTTGGTGGATAAAATTGCCCAAGGGCGCAAAGCAGCTGACTCTTTTAGACAGTCAACGAGACAACATCAATTACCTCTTGAAATATGTGGTTTACATGACATCAACCTCCAGAACCTAATCAGAAAGGGACAAATCCTACACACGCTTGGGACGTTTCTCTTTAGATAGAATGAGAGCCTCCCCAAAATGCTCACTTTAAGGAATCCAAACTGGGTCCTTGGTTTTGGAAACATGCGCCGTCGCCACAGGCCAGCACGGATCTTCCTCCTCTCAACCAGTTTGCATTCCAATTTGAAAACGGGCCGTGCGCTGAGAGGTTTTGTCCGGTATCTAATTCAATGGACGTCTGAACTCCCTGGGCCTCTACATCTGTTCCGTCCTAACAGAAAACGTCTAGCAAAGCTGGAGGGCAACGCTGGAAGGCTCCAGTTTCACCGGCGAAACAAGCGCGCAGGCGCTCTAAGATTGGACGTTGCCCCCAGCACAACTCCGCGTCTGCATCTTTTGGGTGACCGGCCAGGTGCTGTCAATCAATAACCCAAGATCTTACTGAAACAAATCGAACAAATGATTCGCACTGTGGATGGGCAACAACTGCCCCGGTGGGGATGAAAAAAGACCCGTGAATATGTGGATAAACCACGTGCCAATCAGGGTGGATTTTGTGCGTTCCACGGTACCTGGCCCCCAGATACGTCCAAGTCGTCACAGGGGTCACTGGACTTCCTCAAAAGTTGTCATGTGCTGGCGGCGTCCACTAAACCTGATCCACTTTTGGAGGCTTCCTTTAAAGGGAAAAATGGCTCGGACACCCCTCGTCACCGCATGCCTTTCGGACCCCTCCCGGGACGCGCGTGCTCGATCTTTTTCAAGCTGTCGTACTGCCAGGGGACGGCGAACTGGGTGAAAGCCCAGCTTGAAGACCAGAGCTTCCATGTGCCCGAGGTGCATCTAGGACATGTGTTAAGGGTAGCGTAAACTTAGTGCATATAACCCGTATACCCAGAGCCATATTTCTATATATATATGGTACCCCCGTGGACCTAGGGTTTTGGGTTTATCCAGTGTGTTGTGTGTGTGTGTGTTGTGCCTTCTTTAAGATGTGTTGTGCCTTCTTTAAGAGCTGAATTTGCGGCGGAATTGGGGGGGACTATATACATACACATATACACATGTAACCACCATGTGCGATCTGCCAGGTGTCTGGACTCATCTCAGGAATATTGGGACACACTCGATTGTTCTCTGGCAAATAAATTGGGATTCAAGATTCATGAATCTGAAAACAATATGTTTGAGAATCTTGAATCTCGAATCATAAATCCTATATGGTGCCAAAAAAAGAACTAGTGCTGTCCCAATACTCCAGGTGTCCACGTGTGGTTTTGAAGAATTCAAAAAGAGTGCATGTTTCTCTCATCAAATTGAGGATGCTTGCTTACGAGTACAAATGTGTTTGCGTGGTAAACAATAGAAATCAGGGACGAATGTTGGATCCTGGTTCATAATCGGGGCCTCTTTTGTTGGAAAGTAATTGTCCTAATTCCTGATCCTGGGCTGTTTTGGGGTGTTCTATTGTGGAAAGTGTTTTCCATATGTTGTGGAGAACAATTCGTCGACAAATGCAAGCCGTGTTTGATTCTTCAATCTTCGATCCGGAACAAGATCTGAGCAAATGCTGAAGAACACGGCGTTTTGCAGCATTGTGTGCCAAGACGCAGATCCATGTTTATAGGCACTTGTCTGTTATTTGCTTGGCTCAGTTCTTGCTGGATTAAGTTCACATGGAATTAGATAAGGAACTTATCCCTTTTGAAATTGAAGTTGATTCGAGTTGCAACTGGCAATGTCAATAGTTGCTTTCCCCGATTCTTGTTCAATCGAAAAGCACAAGAAATTTCAACCGGTTAAAGTTGAATTTGGCTTGAACGCGAAACATCCTGTTAAATTGGATATTGATTCTTAAAACCTGCTTTTGAGAATGAGAAAATCGAATCAGACAAGCGCCAAATAATTTTGCCAGGAATTGACTTGAAGTATAAGTCTCAATAGGAATGAGCTCCGTTCTTTGCTGAGTTGCTCTCCAAAACCAAAACAAGGAAAAACACATCTAGCAAAGCAGTTGCAAGAACGTTGAAGCTGCCAAAGCGTACTTTGCCTGCTACATGTAAAGTGAAAAATGTGACCTGCGAGCTGTTCAAATAGGATCTTCTTTTCAAAGTTAAGGTGACATTCTGTTTGTTTAGGAGTTGCATGGAGTTGAAATAGGACAAAACATATCTTGGGACCGTGCTGGAGTTTAGCTTCGAAACCTCTTAAAATATCCTTCATCCGCCAAGACCATCATCACAACAGAGGCAACAAATCCTAGTGAGGGGGTTATATATATATGCGCATTTGTGTATAAATTAATAGACATGTGTATATATGTATATGTATATATATATATGTGTGTATACATATACATATGTCCTATTCATGACCATTGCCTCTTCAAAATCAATAAGCAACAAAAGAAAAACCGCCTTGAGCACATGGAAGGATCTGAAAGCAGATCCCGAAAGCTACGAGATCCGACAACAGCAAGTTGTGTAGAAAATAATCCTCATGGCGGAGAAAAAAAAAACAACAACCATCGTGTTTTCAATTTGCTTCGGGAAATGGTGTAGCTCTGAGTTATTAGTCTGTAGACCCGAGTCACATCTCAAGACCTAAGCTGGAAAGGATCCTTGGTAAATATAGGGCCCCCCTTAAAACCTCACCCAAGGGACACTCAGCTTCGGGCCAAGAAGCTGATGAGTCAAACCACCCAAAAAGGGGAAATCTAGGGATCCGTCCTAGAATAAGGGTACTCTTTTTTCTGTAGTCTATTTTAGGGGGTAAAAGGACACTACTGGGGGACCTAGCTGCTGGATCTCCGATTTCGGATGTCTGGCTGCGAGTTCGACTGCGGAGTACTCCGCACTCAGGCCAAAGCCGTCACCTAGCAGGGAGCTTGGCACGAGTTACTCCCCTGAAGGAGGTCTCTCTAAACATGACAAGCTGTAAAAGGAAAAAACAGCTTTCCCTTCTACTTGGTGGTTTGGATTGGTGTTCCAGGGGGGCGGTTCCCATTTCCCATCCTCCAGCAGCAGGGTTCAAGTCCCCAACCCAAACTGCCAACTAAGGGTTGAGTGCAACACATCATAAGCCGGACCCGGGCCCTGCCTAACAACCCCTCATGCTTGCCCGTGACTCCCTCTTGCTTGCCAACTGCTAAGGCATGGGCACTTGAAGGGGCAGGGTACTTAAAGGGACAGGGTACTTAATAAGTGGTTAGTAAGCCTGGCTATAACACATGAGACCTATAACCATGGTAAGTGGGTTTTAACCAAGCTTACCAATCATTTACTAAGTACCCTGACCCTGTAAGTATTGACGGTTTATTCAGATTTGATCGAGCCCACCGTTGCGTGCAGAATCTCGAATCTCAAACCCGCAAGTTTTCCAGCAACATGCCGCCATGTTCCCAGACGGTGGGGTCTTTCTTCGCAGGAAAACACGCGTGTACATCCCCCAAGAAAAGATGTCTAGCGCACAACCAAGTCTCAACATTTGACTTAGCCTTCATAACTCACAAGGGTTCCCTGCTCACAGATTTTACCTGGGGTTCATCCGCATGAGCACAACTCCGCGGCAACCTGCTTTTGCGGCACCGAACATTTTGTAGATCTGAGCTGAGTCACTTCTGGGGGAGTGGGCACTCTCTGTCTTCAGGTTCTCCTAGCGGGTGTGAGTTTTCATTGGCGACCCTCTCCTGGTGGACATCAGTTGGGGGTTGATGTCCAGCAACCACGGAGGGAGGTCCTTATGAAAGTCATAGCCATAGTCAACGTTGGCTGTTGTCTCAGGTCTCAAGCTGCTTAGCGCCGGAAAAAACAAGAAAGAGCAGTCTTCGAAAGTATCAAGTCCAGGAACACAGGTAGTACCGACAGAGGGTCCCTCTTCAAAAGGAAAATGGTCTTCCAGATTCCATGTTAATGGGCTGAGTTGCTTTCTGAGACCACACCGCTTTTCTGCGAAGCGCTTGTTTTGCAAAGGAGCCACGCCGCCACGCCTAAGAGGACCTGGGAAACCCGGTCCCTTCCAACCGAGCCATAGACCATGCAGCGATACCAACAGCAACGTCAACATGGTGAAGGAGTCAGCACTAGAGACTGTCTGAAACAAAGAATCAGACGCATGACAGGAAAACCCCGCCAAATGGCTTTTACATGGTGGTTGTCTTTTGAACCAATCAGACGCATGATAGGACAACCCCCTAGTCTTTCTACGTGCTGGTTTCCTTTTCCTCCATTTGCCTATGGAAGAGATAAACATATTTCCAGTAGTGATAGATTCCCTTTAAAACCAAACAGGGGAACAAAAATGAAAAACATTCTTACAGATTCCCTTTAAAACCAAACAGGGGAACAAAAATGAAAAACATTCTTACAGATTCCCTTTAAAACCAAACAGGGAACTATAAAACACATATTCATTTCACCAAATGGAAGTGTTGAATCAACCCAACAACCAAGGCGCCCTGGGCAAAATCACCAGCTTTCGCTTTCCCCGCCCGCTGGAGCGAGCTCTGCCTGCGCCGAGGCCTGGCGGAGGCGGCGATATCTTTAGCGCCGATTCGGCCCGATTCGGCTGCCGGTGCATACAGACATATACCTATACGGTGATATGCTCACGTATGTAACTCACACATGTACATAAATATATAGATATATGTGTGTGTACCGGCACACATGTATGATGTTCACACATATGGCCATGGGTAAAAATCCAAATCGTACCCCCAGTGAACATCCCAATCCCCACTAAAATATGCAATGGGTGGTGAGTTCACCTACCAACCAAAATGGGATCCCATTGGTGTTGACCCAGCCAAATGAGCAGCACAAACCCTTGTAACTCACACATGTGCATACATATATCTATATATATATATATATATTATGTGTGTATATATATATTATGTGTATACATATATATATATATGTGTACCGGTACACATGTAAAATGTTCACACATATGTCACCCGTGTTTTCTTTAACCGGCCAAGTAAGAGACAAACGCTCCTGCTGGCATCGGCCTGGGCTGCCGCCGCCAATCCCAGAGCGCGTTGCAGCACGCGTTGGGTCGCGGCGGTCTCCGCGGCGGATTTGCCGCCCTGGCACTGCTGTCCCGAACGAATCCTTTAGCCGCCCACCAACGTATATGCCCATTTTTTGAATCTCTCGTATGGACCCCGAGTTTATGAGTTAATTACGTTAATTAACCGTTAGTTGTGGCTTCAGTATGGGAAACCAGCCCAAGGGTCCAAAATGGATAGTGCCAATTTTCCCTTTGCTTAAGATGTTGATGTGTGTTTCCTCCGTTGGTTTTAAAGGGAATCTACCCTCACACCCTTTTCACATGGAATCTGACGTTCGGGGCCCGGTCCCGTTAAAAGGAAAAATGGTCCAAACCAGGACTTTCCGAACGTCAGGTTCCACGCCGATGGGGGGAGGATACCCGTGCTTCATCCTTTGCGACTCGTTGCAACCTATTGAATTTCCGCATGTGGACCGAAGTCTGGACCCACGTGGAGCTGTCTTGGCTTGGAGAACCAACCCCCCTTTTGGGGTTGGCTTAACAGTCTTAAAGGTCTTGTAGATAACCCGTGGAACCAACTATGTAAGACCTGGCGTTAAAAAAAGACCTGATCAAAAGTCAGCTACTCTCAAAACGGGTGGTTTGGATTGGTGGTTTGGCGGCTTGGCAGAGGGGGTTCCCATTTACCCTCTGCAAGAACTGGGGGTTCAAATCCCCAAACCACCAATCCAAGCCACCAATTAAGGGATTCCATTTTTAGCGTCAACTGCAAATGGTTGTCAAGGGCCAATCCCAATAGGGGCGATTTTTGCGCCCGATACAGCTATTGCCCCACAAAGCAACCCTTTTGGAGGGGATTCCATCTTTTGGTCTTTTGGGGAGTCCCTGCCAACCACCAGCAAAAACAACACAGAGCAAAAAATAGGCAATGAACAAGACCTGTGCTCCAACAAAGGCAAGGGCCACACGCGGCGTGACGCCGGACTGGAATTGCCTACTGGAAAACCGCTGGTTGCATCTGAAAAGGCCCGTTTCGTCAGAGCCGCAGCTCCGGGTTTGAGGAGCAGAGGCCTCAAATCCCAAGCTCTACGTTGCTGCCTGCACACACCTTATGAACTGGAGGCCAAGGAAAAGCAACCAATTGTAGTCCAACCTATTTAGGACCCCACATTCATCGCTGGCCAACTTTCACAGGCTGAATTTAGATTGCCCCGCGGGCCGCCCGCGGGTATGAGCTTCTGTATTGGCTGAGAAGTCCTTCGCTATAGCCTTGTGGAAAAGGCCCAAAGTGGTTCACCCATTGACGCCGGGTTGGTCAAATCAACCCCCTGCTAAGTTCGGCCCGTTGCAAGTGGGCAAGGGAACAGATGCCTCTTCTCCATTCTTTGTTTTGCGGTCAGACCAAAGCGCAGGCAACCAGGCTTTGATTGGTGTCCTTTTGGACAAAGAAACGCTGATGCGAACCAAGCTGAAGAATTGGCTGCCATCTGTTTCAATTGATTGCTCTAAACGAGCAATCAGGTTCCACAGCGGCTCAGTGTTACAGGGACACAAACGGAAAGCCTCATTTGAAAACATGGGCTGTCCTCAGATCCCCTACAAGAAGTCGAAAACTGTTAGCGGCTTAAATACGAACCCAACCACTAGACCAACTAAAAGCAACCAAAAGGCAAGGAACCGAACGATTCGCTGGGAACCAGAAAATGGGTATGGGTTCCACCAGAAAACCGCAGGTTTCAGTCCTGGGTTCCACAGGTTACGGCTATTATTTATGATGAATATCCCCTGCCTGGCAAGCAATAGCAACCATAAATGAGCGAGTCGGTTTTTGCGGCCTGCTTTGGTAGGTGTTGAAGGGAAACCAACCGGAATGCTGTCCGGGGGTGCTTGTACATACCCCTTTTACATACCCTTGGACAAATGAACCCAGAAGGCCTGCTGATGTTCATTCCATATCCTCTCCACAAAAGGGGATATACCCCTTATAAAGTGTGTTGGAAGCCACGGAAACCAAAAGGTATAAACAAGGGGTACGGCTGTGGGTCAACACCAATGGTATCCCATTTTGGTTGGTAGGTGAATTCACCACCCATTTTAGAACCTATTTTAGTGGTTGGATTGGGATGTTCACTGTGGGTACGATTTGGCTTTTGACCCACGTCACCCTCATGGCTCCCCTATGACGCCTGCTTGAGCACCTCCCCGCGGCGCTGGGCGACTTCCAAGAGCCTCGGAGCTCGCTCGAGCTCTTTCTCGAGCACCCCGAAACCCGTCTAAAAAGCCCGGCGTTGCGTGGTTTCTATATGGAAACCAAAAGAAAAACCACCATTTTGATGGGGTCCCCCTAAAAAACGACACACCCATCTATTTGTTGGTTCAACTAAGATGGAATTACAGGTTTGCGCAGGCCTCATCACCTGTTGTGAAGCTACCTCGCTGACACTGGTTTCGGCGCTGCTCAAAATAAAACGAGCAAACACAATGATTTGAGTGCCACGCTCAGGAGCCCAGGCTGGTTTTGCTACGTGTGCAGATTCTGGCAAGAAACACACCAGCGCCAAACCGCTGGGGATGAATCTTCGAGGGAGACCTGCGCTGGACATCATTCAGGTGAGGATTCATATCCACCAACCACTGTGGAGGCGGTGCCCCTCTAACGCACCCATCTGCCTCAATGTGGGAACATAGTTACGCACGCAGGCAGCCCGGCGCAGGCAGAGCTGCACTGGAAGCGCTGAGAATCATAGCCACTTCAGTCAGACAAAGTTGATGCTTCTTACCAGCTGGCAAAAGACCCTATCCAGTCAACCGGATCAAATTGACAAGTGCAATCCGTTTGGCAAGTGTGGAACGGTCAACTATCACACGCTGTCAGACTTGTCATAGCTTCGCGGGTCCAAAATCCACCGCGCACACCTGTGTCGGTCTCATCGTGTAGGATTCTAGACAGAAAGGGTGGTAAGTGATTTGAAATCCAATCGCAACTTGCGCCGTGGCCAGTGTAGGATTCGCTCCTAAGGGACAGCAATGGGGAAAAACCCCGAACCATAGGGTGACCTTGACAAATAGATGGCTTCTCCCTGGCAAATGGACGCATAAAAATCCAATCTAAACCAGTGGCTTGCCCATCCCGATCAAAATTTGGACGCCCCAAACCATGGCACGGTCCCCTGTCCCAGGCTCCGGGAAGAAAAAAAAAATCGCCGCCGCGCGGCGCTGCGAAGTGGCGCCTCACCAAGTCCGCCGGATCTGCGAGGTCCAGGGGCCGTCTGCGGAGAGTTGGTGGGGGGGGGGATGAGTCAACCGAGGTTTACTCGGTGGCGAACTCTGCTCCCCTGCTGAAGTTGAACTGTTCGTGGTTTAAGACGGAAAACCCACTAGTTAGGCAGAAAGTTGAGAAGTCCTAACATTTCGCAAAATGCACCTCTGTTTAGACGAGACTCGCGGTGTGTCTTTGAGGGTATTGATCCATTTTGCAGTGGTAAAGCAGAGACCAAAAGGGCAATCACCATGCTGGGGGCCGCTTAAAACAGGGGCACACCCAAATGATTGCAGGTCTGCATGTTTGTCTGGGCATTTGCGAAGAAGGATCCCTGGAAAGAATCGGTACGTAGAAGAACTCCACAACCTAAAAGGCAGTATTGGGCCAATCATGCTCGTTCAACCAGGTCATCATAACACAGGTAGCACTCTTCTTCAAACAGCATTTTAAACAGCATCCTGCCTGCTACTTGGGATGTGCGTTGCCAAGATAGTAGCCACTTGGGGTATAGCCCACAAACCAGGTTCACCTGACTTGGGGGCCTAGGTCGAAAACAACTTGCTAACTGGGCCGAGCACCCAAGTATCCCTTGAAAGAGGACACATTTTGTTTGCGCAGGCGCGGACTTGGGAGAACCCCGTGGCCAGAGGATGTGAGGGGGGCTCTTGTGCTCTTTGATGACTCACCCCTCCTTCCCTTCCCCCTCCTCCCGCACCCATTTTTGAGAAGAAAAGCTGTTGGTCCCCCAAATCATCCACACAAAAGGCTGAATGTGTGGACCAACACCTCATTGGCTCCTGCCCTTCTTTTGGAGGGGGGTGGGGGTGGGGTGGGGGTGGGGAGCGTTGGTTTGTTCCCATTCGTCCCAACCGGCGCAGGATTCTGTCCATCCACAGTATTTCCCACTATGGACCCCAACGCAGGTTATGGTTATAGTTTTCTGTATGGCCTCAGCTGAGTTGACCTAAGCAAATCATTTTCGCTGGCGACCGCCAACCCCATAAATTGGACAACCGGATCGGTCAATAGGCTGCAACTCCCAAGTGATGCGAAAGTGATGCGAATCTCTCAAGTTCGACACCCCTTATTCAGCAACCTGTGGCTTCATCCAGGGCAAACTCTTGGGTATAAGGGAGTCTCAATCCCTTCTCCGGAAGCAAGGATTGAACCTCCTTCAACTCACCAAGTGGGGCGCAGTCGGGGTGCTGCCAGAATGGCAGTAGAATCTTGTGCCACGAAGCTCTTTGACTGTGTGTGTGTGACTTGTCTTATGGGGGGAACCCCCAAAGTGGTTGGTTTCAATTGGGCTTACCAACGAGTTGCTACCTCAGTGGTGCGCAAACCTCGTCTTGTTCAAATAAATCTACGCCGCAAGAAACTCTTGCGCAAAATACGTCATCCTACCAAATCTTGGTCGGCTCAAGAACCCCCTATAAGCTAATTGGGCTTGTGTTAAAATGGGTATCTTTTTTGATGGTGTCCCTTTTTTGGTGGTTTTGAAAGGCACGCCATCATTTGCGGGGCACAAGATAAACAATGTATGGATGGGGGTTGCTCCAACGTTTTGCCCAGTTGCTGGGAGACGCTCATGAAAACTGAACAGGGGGCAAGAACAACCATACACTGTTCTCCTAAGGGACAACAGGAGAGTGTTGAAACAGTTGTGGATTTAACAACATGTTCAAACAAGAGCCTCCCCCATCTACTCTTTGTGGGGGCTGGGGGGGAGGGAGGGGAGGCGGAGGGAGCCCAAATAAGTCCTAAATAAGGCCTCAATAAGGGCTTAATAAGGGTTTTTTGGGCTCCCTCTCCCTCCCCTCCCTCCCCCCCAAGCCCCCATGAAGAAGCCAGCGGCTTGGTACCAAGACTGGAAAGGCCCGATTGCCCCATTTGGGTACGTGGCTGTGGTTGTCAAAAATAGGGTAACCCCAAAACGGTTTACCCTGACAAATTCCACCGGCAAATGGAAAAGCTGCACTAAAACCTGCGGTCCATATCCCGTTGGTTTGATTTTGACCCATACCCATGTCTTTTTTGAGGGACATATCGTCAAGTGCGTTCTTTTCTTGAATATACACCCGTACACTCCCCCTGAGGTTCCACGGCGCCAAGTCTTCGCTTGCCCCGTTTCTGGTGTGGGAATGCCCCACGTCCATTTTTCCGGAGATTGCCCAATGAACTCAGCCAATGTGACCCGGATTGATCAACCCCGGTTCATTAATACTGTGGATGGTTGCGAAATCCAGAAATCGCACCACTTGGAAACCATGGGAAACCATTGTTTGTTGATATTTACAGGGGAATCGTCATTCTAGGGTTTCTTAGGTGGTGCGAAATGGATTTCGTCCATCCACAGTATGGGGGTGTTCTCCAAAAGTGACACATCCCCACTAGATCCAAAAACACCCCGATAGCAACACCCACTGAGCGGATTGGCCAAAAAAGCTGCCCACTTCTTATGTGATTAGAACGGTCTTCCCACAAAGTCCAAAGTCCATGAACTCAGGAAGTGAGAACACTGGGGTGTATTAATCCGGAGTTTTCAAGACTGAAGAACACAACTACCAATGGGCACCTGAAACCAGCCGGTCGCTTGCCGGATCTTAGCGATAGGTTAATTTCATGCTCAGCGTCACACGCTCTAAGCAGCCGAAAACCAAGGATCGACCAACGCGATATCTTACAAAAGCACTCCGACCTAAGAAATGATCAGGTGAAGTCATTCGCAAAGGGGGTGTGGACTACCTAAACACAATATAGGACATAGTCATTATATGGCCATGGGTCAAAAGCCAAATCGTACCCCCAGTGAACATCCCAATCCCCACTAAATAGGTACTACAATGGGGTGGTGAATTCACCTACCAACCAAAATGGGATCCCAAAACGGTTTTGACAACCACACCCATATGTCACGACGATAAGAGACCGATTTCGCCATAGGTGTTCTTTTAGGGGAACTAGATGGCCCTGGTAGATGATTAAACCGCCAGGTAAACTAGGAATCGGCATCTTTTTTTTCCAGCAAAACAACCAGAAAGGACGCCTATGGATTTAACCCCACCAGAGGCCGGTTTTAGTCAAAAAGTTCCATGCAAACCAGGGCCAACCCATTTTGGGGTTACCTCGTTCTTGATTCACAGCCACATGTCCCGAGAAGAGACCCGTTTCTCCCTCACGCGCCCAAAACGCCTCGCCGGCCGCGGGGCGCGGAAGACGCCGAAGACCGCGGTGAAGCCCTGGACGCGGAGATGCGGAGTCGGCGGAGATGCGGAGGCGTGGTGTTCAGTACTGTCGCCCCCTGGAAAGAAATATCAAAGACATGCCCAGTAGTGATAGATTCCCTGTAAAACCAAAAGGGGAAAATAACACACATTCTTAAGCAAATGGAAGGTGGATGGTTGCGAAATCCAGACATCTCACCACTTTGAAACCATGGTTGAAACCATAACGTTTGGCATTTACAAAAATCAAAATTCATTTCCCGGGGGTTTTTAGGTGGTGCAGGATTTCGTCCATCCACGGCAGGACTCCGTTTCCTGATGGCTTTTGCTGGCTGCCATGACGGGCCTTAAAACTTGGCATTTGTGTGTGTGTGTGGTTCTCTACACTCAGATCCCGGAACAGAGTTGGGAGAGAACCAGCAAGGCAACGACAGTGGGCTGCCCTTCTTGCTGCCAAGTCAGCATTTCCCGCAGCCAGGCGTTCACTTTTTCGCTCCATCCTCTACCGTCATGCCACACCATCCATCCGGTGCGCTGCGCGAAGCTCGATCGCCTAGGCAGAGCTGGGGGCATCTGCGCCCCAGCGATCCATAAAACCTGAGTAGCTGGAAGCTGGCGTCATGCACTGCAGGCTCCTTCAGCTGGTTGCTCTCCCCCCATCCGGGTCAAAACACGCAGACTTAGCAAGACTGCAAAACTTTGCAGGATGTTCTGGCGTTTTACAAAAAAGAAAAGGCATGACGTCTTCGGCCCGAGCGCCAGGAACGTTTGGCACCATCCAACAAAAGTTGGCCCAGCGAACGATCCGCACGACCAAGGGATAGCCTGCTATGGAACCCTTTGAGCTCCACAACTGATCTTGGCGGTTTGGGCCCGAACCTTCGACTAAATTAGTAGATGTACCCCATGCCATGTCCTTTACAGCGCAAAGTGAACCAACAAGCCACAATCTGCCTCCGGTGGGCGCAGCTTCGGCAAGCATCCCCTACATGGAGCCTCTGGGTCAATTGCTGGTGTTCCAAGTTTATGAGCCAAAGAGTAGGTAGTCGTGAGAACATTTCCCCTCTCACCCTAAATTGCTGGCTTACGTTGACTTGTGGCCTGGAGCTTAGGATTCGTCTCAACACGAACGAGGGGCAACCACCCATCGAAACCACCCATCGGGGCGGGTAACCTAAAAGGGATATTTGACTTTCGCCAGCGGTTCTCCACTGGGCAAACATGACTAGAGGATTTCGAAGGCAAACATGGTAAAGCCTCTCACAGGCACACTGACATGAAACCAAAATGGGTCCGGAAAGGGGGAATCCTATTCTTGACAACCCGTCAACCTCCTCAAGCAGGTTGTAACCGTTAAGCTTGGGGGTAACTGGGGTTAGCTCCCTGAAATTCATGGTTCTCACCTCAGCAGTGATAGCTGTCTAGCTGTCCTTTGAAACCAGCATGGGAAACAAAAAAGCTGGAAGGACCAATGGCGGCCATTTGCTTAAGCCCCCTGGAAAGAACAATAACATACTTCCAGCAGCGATAGATTCCCTTGAAAACCAACACTGGACACGGAAAAAAATGGAAAATGGCCACTTTGCTGCCCCTTTCTCCTACCCTCCGACTCCGATGCCACCGACCCCTCCCGCCTGCAAGGCCGCGCGGCCCGTGCGAGTCGCCTAGCCGTTTTTTGGGACGCGTTTTGAGGGGGACACTGGAGGTGTGAAAAACCATTGCCGAAAGATGCTCAAGGAACAGCACCTTGGGACCCGGAGAAGATTGCATCGGGATGAACAGGTCACAACAAAAACGGAACAAATCCAGACTTGGCTCATCGCGATGCATGTGGGCATGTTCCGCACAGCTGCGGCCTAGTTGGGAATTCGGGTCATGGAGTCCAAGCTCGGGCTCCGAAGACCAACTGCAAGGGCTCCCTCGGGCCATCGGTCCGATCCCCCATACAGAATCGATGAAGAGAGGGGTACGCTGTGGGCCCTAGTGGTTTTTTGATATGAAATGGAAGTTTTTGCAGACCTGCGAAGCGGTTATTTCAAGGCAAACCAACTGACTCAACACCAATCTACCCTTCTGATGAATGAACAGAATCTGGCGCTTTGAATGATTTTCTGACCTCGTGTGGTTCCAAAGGGAACACAAAACAAATATATGTTGAAACGAGAGCGCGGCCATGATTCAGTGCTCAATCCTTGGAAAAGCTTGGGAAGTGGACCGTCAAGATTCAATTTTTATACGCCGGAGACGAGTAGAGCGCCGAAGCTTCCGGCCGGGTTTTGGGGGGGGGGAAAGTGGTGGGGGGGGAGGGGTTTTGGGCGGGGGGCTTTGGTTGAGGGCTCGTGTTTGGCGACATGGGCTTCGAGAAATGGATTTCCGAGCGGAAGACGTGGATGGATTTCGGGCTCGGGGGAGGGCCTGGCAACCATGTTGCCCCAGCCACCGAAAAACATGAGATGCCATTACAGCCGCTAGCTGATTCCAGAGCCGAGGCCGAGATCCCCGGATTCACTGATGTTGATTGCTGCACGTGCAATAAAATACGCACCGCCTGGACACCTGTGCCGGAAAACGAGAACCGCAGTCCAAGTGAGTACTGTACTCCAACTGTCCACTAGTTAATGTCCGTCCGTTGTCTTATTCCGTTCCTCATGATGGAACCCCGCAGCTGCTAGTCGAATCCCTTCTGATGTCCCAATTCAGGGAACAACCTGTTCGCTTGTAGAGGTAAAGCCACTATTTTGAGCCCCGCCGTTTGTTTCATCCATCAACCACCCTTAAAATCCAGCATAGACTCACCCTTAACCAACCCTTTTTGTGGGGGAAAGCCACAAGTTCGAGTTCGCCAACCTCATTTTTCACCCCAAACCCCTTCTAACCCCAGCCTCAGCCACCCACCCCACCCCCCAAGCCCAAGCTATCGACCTCGCCTCCTCTGGCGCAGCCTGCGCCAGCGCCTGCGGCCCAATCCTAGGCGTTGGGTGGATAACTTGGTTGGCGCTGGAAGGGGGGCAAAAAAATAAGTCTTAGCAGTCCAGTGGGGAGTTCCCACAAATTCACGATAAGCAAAAAAATGCAAAATGTGTCCCAACAACCATGAAGCATATGGGAACTTCCTGGGTTCGCCCAGTTCAACACGGGAACCTCTTGGGGTTCGAAGGGAACCAACCAGTTCTCTGCGGGGAAAAAATGGAAGGCGCTGCCAGGGCTGATTGACCTAACCAGTGACGCCTGTGATCAGGGCCTTTCTTTTGACCAGCGGCTGCCAGTGAGAACAGGACCCCTGGTCTTGAAAGTTTTGTTCATCATGGTTCATGGATCTTTGGGTGAGGGCAACCCGCGGAATCAATGGGTCCGTGGAGTGCAGCAACATCTCCAATAGGAACAGGACTTCCTCTCCCTGCACCCCCAAAAGCAATTAGTCGCAACTGCACACCTGGCTGCTGAATCGGGGGCCTGGGAAAATTGGACAGAATCATCTCCATGCGGTTTGCTTGAAAGGAAATGCACCATAAGTCAAGGAAAAGCCGACTAGATTTGGGATATGTCTTTTGGTGTGCTGCACTCATAAGAAGCACATTGTTGCTGGCCCACGTCGTGGAATAGCCATATCTTCCGGCGTCATCCCAACCCAACCCAACCCAACCAAACCAAACTAAACGAAACCAACAAACAAGCACGCAAACAAACATATGTACATGCCCCAAAAACCACAACAACAACACCAAACAACGCACAACAAAACAACAACAGGCAAAACACGCAACGCATCACAAAACGACAACCAAAACTAAGCAATAACCCAGCCACGCAACAAACACATGCACACGTACATGCATGCGTCACACACAGACACGCACAAAGAGACACCGGCGCGGGCTTTCCCATCGGTTGGGCGCTTGGCTCCCGCGCTCGCCGTTGGCCCAGAAGCCCACCAGCGGCTTCCCAGGGAAAGCGGCCTCGCGCGAAATTCCTCTGGTCGCTGATGGTTTGTTAGGTTTCTTAGGTGGTTTCTTGGGTTTCTTAGGTGGTTTCTTAGGTTTCTTAGGTGGTTTCTTGGGTTTCTTAGGTGGTTTCTTGGGTTTCTTAGGTGGTTTCTTAGGTTTCTTAGGTGGCTTCTTGGGTTTCTTAGGTGGTTTCTTGAGTTTCTTAGGTGGTTTCTTGGGTTTCTTAGGTGGTTTCTTAGGTTTCTTAGGTGGTTTCTTAGGTTTCTTAGGTGGTTTCTTAGGTGGTTTCTTGGGTTTCTTAGGTGGTTTCTTAGGTTTCTTAGGTGGTTTCTTGGGTTACTTAGGTGGTTTCTTAGGTTTCTTAGGTGGTTTCTTGGGTTTCTTAGGTGGTTGAGGTTGGCTCCCTTGACTAGGAACTATGACCATCTAGGTCCTCCAGATTAGAGAGGTTAGAATAAGGGTACCCACTTTTTTCTGTAGTCTGTTTTAGTAGGGGAACCCTCCCCAAAAAAGGGCAAAAGGGAACTACTGGGGGACCTAGCTTATGGTTTCTTAGGTGCTCCGGAAGATCGTCCATCCACAGTAGGACCATATCCCTCCCACATGTCAGCAGATGGGCCACAAACTACCAAACATCTTGCTCGCAAACACCATGTGCTACTTGCGAATTTTAAAGGGGGGCCCTATAGGTGGACATCATTTGAGGATTCATGGCAGCAAGCACTGTTGAGGTGGTTCGGCGTCAAAATTCACAGCCAAATCTGAAACGGAACGGTGTTTGGTACATCCCCTTGCCATTCGAGGAGGGTGGGTTTCTTTCTGGGTTTCCTCCCTGGTTGGAGGGGAGACAACTTCCAGACATGTGGGACTGGTCAAATTAAAAGTCATGCCCAGACTCCTCCCTGTCCCAGATTCTTGCATGCAAAGGGATTGGGCCGATTTCAATTTTGAGAAACACCCTATCGTGGTGAAAACCGGATTAAACCGTCCTACTAATAGGCATCAGGCCCTTTTGTGACCGGCAGGGTTTCGGCACTTTGCTTGAGTCATTTCTGGGGTTTCGGGCCACCCGCTGGCCAATGAGGGGCCCACAAACTAAACAGCACGAGCTGAACATCTTGACGTTTCAGGCAGTCAAGGCAAGAGGGCGCCGCGATGCAGAGTCTGCAGCTCTCCTGACCATCGCCTAGAAACCTGGCCGGGGGAAGAGTGTCAAGGTCAGAGACTCTTTGCGACTATTTGGGGGCTACATCAAGCAAGCGCGCGGGAAGATGTGGGAACATGGGAGACGAGTGTAGCGAAAGAAGAAGAAAGAGAATCTTGCCGTTGTACCACTGTCTACTCCAGCAGAAGCTTGTGGATCTGCAAAGCGGTGTCGAATCATGGGCCGGCTGGGGATGTTCCAGAGTGGACTCATGAAGAACGGAAAGAGCAGACTCAGAGCGAAATGGAAGACCTTGCAACAAACAAAATGAGGAGAATTACCAAGTGGGGCAGGTGCGGGAAAGGCCTGCGAGCTGTGCAGCCGTGGCTGTACAGTGTCGGTGGCCGCGCAAACCAATTGGGCCTGGTGCGTGCGCGCTTGCTGAAGAAGCGAAACGGTGCACGCGAATGCTGGGGAATGTATGATTTCCTTCGACATAGAGTTCGAGAGTTGCCTGGATGAATGAAAGAGGAGTACAAGACTCTAGCGTGCGCCAAGCCGCGCAGTGCGGTAAAACGGAAACACTGCAGACGGAGGCTGGTCGGCTGAGCAAGTGGACAGGGAACGCTACCATTCGCGAACCCCCCCAACCCCGCTGTCATCAACAGGATGAGAGCTGCGGTCGGTTGGCGGCGTGACACCTACCAAAAGGGTGGGGTTGACATTAATCAACCCCTATTTGGTGGTTTGGATTGTTGGTTTGGATTTGGATCTGAATCCCTCCTTCTTGTAGAGGGTAAGTGGGACATCGCCGACAACCTCCAAACCAATCCAAAACCATCAAGGGGGAAGCTGATAGGGCTTGTGATCTACCTGAAGAAGTCAACTTGCCCAGGGTTGCAAACCAAGAAGAACACGGGAAAAAAGGCATCTGAAGACTCATGCTTGACCAACCCATGAGTCGAAGCATGGCCCAGGGCTTCCCATTACCTGGCTGTGGGTCAAAAATAGGTTCCCAAAAATGGGTTGTTGTAAATGGACACATGTACAATTCAACCTGCGGTCCATATCCTGCCTGGTGGCTCAATTTTGACCCATGCCCACCTGAAGCTCCGGCCCGGCCCGCGCCTTAAACTCGGCGAGGTCCACGTGGTCCTTCCCGAAGAACTGCGCCCGCCGGCCGCAGCAGGTGAACATCAAGGCCTCGCCAACCCCAGTCACCCGACTCAAACCCGGAAAAACGAAATTGCAAAACCAGTCAATGGTGTTTCCTCAGATGCCCAGTGGCCATGGGGAAACAAGGGGCATCCTTTTTGGTTGGTTGACTTTAAAGCAGAACCTTCCCAAAAAACTGGGAAAATTGGCACCACTGGGCAACTGAGTTCAACGGGTTTTGGAGCTATAGAGGTTAAAGGTACCAGCTGCAAAATGGAAATCCCAAACCTGAACATGCCCTCGAAAAAGATTCGCAACAACTCCAACCATCGAGAAAGCAACTTTTAGTTGAAAAACCGGATCAGTTCGGAAATGCGCCCCTACGAATCTGCCGACCCCGGTCCATCCGGGGGTCAACACCAGTCAAAAATTGTTGGACTTGAAGAAGACTTCGCCACTTACCCCCCGTCCACTCACACCGATTAGACAAACATTGTCTTTCAGGGAGGGTTTAGGGTTTAGGGTTTAGCTGTGCCTTGCTGAACCAGCTTTGTGGGTTCGGAGGAATCTAAAGCAAACACACGCACCCAACGGCGCGCTCAACGCGTGCGTTCGTGTTCTGCGGATCGGCCCCTGCGGAGAATGCCGGAATTAAATTCGGGTTCAAACTCTCGAGTTACCAGTCCAAACCACCAAAGGGCCCAACCTGACAACACGGTGCCGGAAGTCTTCAAAGAAAGGAAGCTAACACAAAGAACAAGTGGATTAGGCACTGTTTCCCGCTGAAGCCCAGCAAAAGTGAGAGACCTCAAGACCACGTGCCAAAGGAACCCACCCTGGCAAGGAAGCCCCTGCGAAGCCCCATGTTGCTTTTCCCGGCTCAACATGGGGGTGCGGGAGAACCAACCGGATTTCGAGGCCTCCGCGAAAAGAATCTCAAGGTCCTCCGGCAAATTTGGTCCCTCGCCACCTTTGGCCTGTTTCTGGAGCTCTTTCCACCAAATCTCCAGGTCCGGCAAAGTTTGCCACTCGCCACGGCATCATCCACGCGGCTATGGGTCAAAGCCCCGTACCCCCAGTGAACATCCCAATCCCCACTAAAATAGACCAGAATGGGTGGTGCACCCACCCCAACATGGGATCCCAAAACGGTTTTGACAACCACAGCCACACAGACCGGCGCAACAACACACAACTGGACCGGGCACACACCTGGGCCATTTGGTCATGCTCCCTGGACTGGGAAAATTATGACCATCTAGGTCCGCCAGATTTGACAGGTTAGAATAAGTTGGTACCAACTTGTTTCTGTTTTGCCTATTTTAGTAGGGAACCCAAAACCCCCCCAAAAAAAAGGGCGAGAAGGGCACCTAGTTGGGGGACTAAAATTGCGTATATATTCTGCCTGCCTTCGAAAACACAACTTGCAAAGACAAAAAAGTGCACCCTTGGCACTTTTGTGAGCATGAAACCAGCTCTTCAGAAGTCTATCGAAGCAGGGCAACTACTCAAGATCCTGCTCCACTCAATCCTGCTCCTGAAATATGGGGTGGGTCTTTCTTCCCCCAATATCATGGTTTCTCTCTGTCTAGGTCCTCCAGTAGAGAGGTTAGAATAAGGGTACCAACTTCTTTCCGTAGTACTTTTTTTAGTAGGGCCCCAAAAAAGAAACGGTTAAAAAGAGCACCTGGCTGGACCTAGTTGCGGTTCCCCATAAATCGCCAACCAAGCAGGCTTGGTTGACGTTGGAAGGGGAGCAACTTAAGATTTTAGAAGTTAAGTTCGATTTTCCAAAGCCACAATAAGCAAAAATAATAATAACAATAACAATAATAAAGTATCCCAAACAACCATGAATCAGGGGAGAGACCCATCCACTTTTCTCCGCTGAAGGCTTCAGACCTTCAGGCCCCGGCGCCCAAGGTCTCTTCCTCGCGTGGCTGGGAAAAACCGGCGTGCCAGGGAACCGGTTTCGAGGACACGTGTGAGACGGTTAGCCGGTTTCGGTTTCGGTTTCCCGGGGAAAAGGAAAGAAACCCAAGGTAACCAGGTAAAAAAGTGAGAGGTAAGCCTTCAGTTTGGCAACGCAAGCACTCCCTTTCTTTGTTGGATAGTTGAACCCTTGCTACATGTTAAACGTGTGGGAAATCTCAGATCCTACTAAACTCTTGGTCTAAGGATATTGCGGGGAACTGACAAGTTTTAACAACCTGCTTGTGGCTTCCCTTTAAAGCGAAGCAAGGATTGGTTGTGAATTCTTGCCCAACGCGGTCATTGGCGGCTTCATGTTGTTCTTTTGAAATCCAGCAAGAGGGTCCTTCATGTCGTTTCAAATTTGCCGAAAAAACACTTACTCTGGCCGTCCCACCCGAAGAATCAAGTCTTACGCGGCACATGTGGCAATGGACCTCTTTTTTTCCAGGGGGGCAAGACCTCAAAAGCTTTCGATGGTCATTCAAATTTTCCAATTTTCCCAGCTGAAAAATATTCCGCGCTCTGCTCTAGCCCACCAATATGGCTCGCCAGGAGCCCATGCTGAATCCTGGAGAATTATTGATGACAATTTCCCGGCTTCCCTCCAATCGGTGGTTTGGATTGGAGGTGTTTGCGTTTCTTTACAAAAACTTGTTCTAAAAAAATCCGCCCAAACCAATCCAGGGAATCATTTTGCCGAGAGTTCACCCTCTTTCTTTTCGACCCCCAAAAAAGCGGTCTTCCTTCTGGCTTCCCTTTTACACCACCACAAATGGCCATAGGGCATAACCTATGGCTCCATTCTGGGGTGGATGAACATCCCTTTGCCACCTGTTTTGATGTTCACCAGGGGTTTGCTGGGTTTTGACCCTCAGCCAAATGGCCGTGGATCAAAATCCAATTGTACCCCCAGTGAACATCCCAATCCAACCACTAAAATCGGTTCTAAAAATTTGGGGGGTGAATTCACCTACCAACCAAAATGGGATCCCGTTGGTTTGATCCACAGCCACGTGGCTCGCTGGTTCGATAGGCAGGGAATGAGGAATGGACTGAGCCCAACAATTCCGTATGGTTTCCTTTCAGGGAATCCCCAGGTTCATTCCCAAATTCCTGAGTGATTCCCTAATGAGCACCAGCAAGATGGGTGTCTCTTTGTTGAGGGAATCCCAAAACGGTCAAATGACAACCCCCGCCAACTGGGCGCCGCTTCAGCTTCAGCCCAACCCCTCCTCGGCCTCAGCCTCGAGAGCCACCGCCTTCTCCGGCCGCGCCAGGTGGCCCAGCAGGCGCCGGAGGTCCTGGCAGACTCGTTGGCGGAGGTTTGGGGGCTTGGGGTTTTCTAGGGGTTGATTCAAAAGCACCAACAAAATTGTTGTAAGTGATACAAAAGATTTTGATTATGATAATGATGATTCCCTTTGGGGTTTTCTAGGGGTTGATTCAAAAGCACCAATTGTTGTAAGTGATACAAAAGATTTTGATTATGATAATGATGATTCCCTTTGGGGTGTTCTAGGGGTTGATTCAAAAGCACCAACTATTGTTGAAAGTGATACAAAAGACTTTGATTGTGATAATGATGATTCCCTTTGGGGTGTTCTAGGGGTTGATTCAAAAGCACCAACTATTGTTGTAAGCGATACAAAAGATTTTGATTATGATAATGATGATTCCCTTTGGGGTTTTCTAGGGGTTGATTCAAAAGCACCAACAAATTTGTTGGAAGTGATACACAAGATTTTGATTATGATAATGATGATTCCCTTTGGGGTTTTCTAGGGGTTGATTCAAACGCACCAATTGTTGTAAGTGATACAAACGATTTTGATTATGATGATAATGATTCCCTTTGGGGTTTTCTAGGGGTTGATTCAAAAGCACCAACTATTGTTGAAAGTGATACAACCGATTTTGATTATGATAATGATGATTCCCTTTGGGGTGTTCTAGGGGTTGATTCAAAAGCACCAACTATTGTTGTAAGTGATACAAACGATTTTGATTATGATAATGATGATTCCCTTTGGGGTTTTCTAGGGGTTGATTCAAAAGCACCAACTATTGTTGTAAGTGATACAAACGATTTTGATTATGATGATAATGATGATTCCCTTTGGGGTTTTCTAGGGGTTGATTCAAAAGCACCAACTATTGTTGTAAGTGATACAAAAGATTTTGATTATGATAATGATGATTCCCTTTGGGGTGTTCTAGGGGTTGATTCAAAAGCACCAACTATTGTTGTAAGTGATACAAACGATTTTGATTATGATAATGATGATTCCCTTTGGGGTGTTCTAGGGGTTGATTCAAAAGCACCAACTATTGTTGTAAGTGATACAAACGATTTTGATTCTGATGATAATTTTGGGGTGTTCTAGGGGTTGATTCAAAAGCACCAACTATTGTTGTAAGTGATACAAACGATTTTGATTATGATAATGATGATTCCCTTTGGGGTTTTCTAGGGGTTGATTCAAAAGCACCAACTATTGTTGTAAGTGATACAAACGATTTTGAGTATGATGATAATGATGATTCCCTTTGGGGTTTTCTAGGGGTTGATTCAAAAGCACCAACTATTGTTGTAAGTGATACAAACGATTTTGATTCTGATAATGATGATTCCCTTTGGGGTGTTCTAGGGGTTGATTCAAAAGCACCAACTATTGTTGTAAGTGATACAAAAGATTTTGATTATGATAATGATGATTCCCTTTGGGGTGTTCTAGGGGTTGATTCAAAAGCACCAACTATTGTTGTAAGTGACACAAACGATTTTGATTGTGATGATAATGATGATTCCCTTTGGGGTTTTCTAGGGGTTGATTCAAAAGCACCAACTATTGTTGTAAGTGATACAAACGATTTTGATTCTGATGATAATGATGATTCCCTTTGGGGTTTTCTAGGGGTTGATTCAAAAGCACCAACTATTGTTGTAAGTGATACAAAAGATTTTGATTATGATAATGATGATTCCCTTTGGGGTGTTCTAGGGGTTGATTCAAAAGCACCAACTATTGTTGTAAGTGACACAACCGATTTTGATTGTGATGATAATGATGGTGATTCCCTTTGGGGTTTTCTAGGGGTTGATTCCCAACCAGAAGCAACCAGAAGAAACCAAGGGAGCTGGGCAACAAAAAGTGCCAACCTGTGGAAGGACCCCACACTTCTAGGGGTTGTTTCCTTTTCCAGTCTTTTCAACCATCGTTCTTTTCAATCACCAGATCCGTTTTCCCAGCGTTTTGGGTGGTTTTGTAGAAAGAAGGATGCCTGGAAAGAATGGGGAAGGTATTCCTAGAGGTTTGGGTTGGACCCGTTGGCTATGTTGGCTTCAAAAGGAGCTGGGGGTTGGGTCATTTGGAAAAGACCTGACCTGTCAGGGCAAAATTCACCAAACAAAGAAGTCAAATACGGCTATGGAGTTATGCGGGGGGGGGGGGGTACTTGAGAAGGTTGTTCATCGGAAACTACTACATCAGTGAGGGAAGCAACCGGCAAAATAACTAGAATGGGGTTGTGGGGTACTTTAAAAACAGTTTGACTCATGATAGGAAAATACGATTTTACCCTAGGTTCAAGCCGCATAGGAATAGCAAGGACCCAATTTAGATGATGAAACTCTCAACCCCCGGTTTTTAATGGTGGTTTGAACCCCAGGGTATAGTCAGTAACTTGGAGATGTTCCAGGAAACAAGTGCAATGGCGGTCCATGTGCTAAACTGACTGGTGCACACTGTACCAACAAACATGGACATGATTGCTTGACTTCCTGGGCGTTTGGGGAACAAAACTCCGTCACAGACATGGGCACAATGGGTAACCTGAAACTAAGTCACTTCTTGTTACGGGCGGAAGGACATACGCCTAGCAAAAACGGTGAGGCGCCCCCAGCAACTTGTCGCAGCTCCGGGCGGCTGATCTTGGGCAGAGATTGGCAAGAGCTGGCCGGGTCAAACTCCGTATGGATCGTAGCATTGAGCTGCACGATGTGGCGAGTCCCTGCTTCTGCTTACAACGGTCGGACACAGGTGGAGATGGGTAATGAGATCTCTCTCTAACACATTTCTGTCTTCATCTTCCTATCCTTTACCCGCCGTAGCGAGCCATCTTTAGGTGAGAGAAGGTAGCGGGTGGAAGAAGATGAGAAAGATAATTCTCTCCCAAAAGCACTATCCTATCTCTATCTTGGAAGCTTTTGGGGAGGTGCTCAGGGTCCATCATTAACCGAAAGGAACGAGCTGGTGGAGGGATTTTGCTCACTCTATCATTCCCCCTTCATTTCCCTTTCTCCTTTGCTACACGGATCTCGGGAACTCGGGGAAAAGAGGAGAGTGATAGAGAGAAAAGAGTGTGGAAAGGAGAGGAATGGGATGAGTCTGGGATAGAGGCTCGCCGCACCAGACGGTTTCCATCCCATTCATCTCTTCCTTTCACCAAGCCCCGGTTTAGCCGGAAAGTAGGTGACAGGTGAAGGTAGAAGAAAGAAAGAGACAGAGATTAATGCCCGTACAATCTTAGTAATCTTTGCCACGGACGGGCCCATCCTATTCTTGTCCGTGAGCGGCGAGGAGACGAGGCGGGAACGAGACAAGGCATTCCATCCCTTTCATCGCTGTAGCTCATCGAAAGAACGAAGTAAGTGAGAGGGAGTAAAGAGATGGATGTTTTCCTATCATCACCTATTCACTCCCTATCCATGTAATCCCTAATAAAGAGAGTTTGGTGATGAGGTGAAAAGATGGGCCTCTCTTCCTTCCCTAACTCCGTCCCTTCGTTTCGGTCATTTTGAGAGACGAGAGTACGAGGAAGGAAAAAGGAAAGACACGCCCTCTCTTCGCTCGGATACTTCTGGAGTTCCTGTCACTATGAAAGACTCACGATGGAACGGTCTGGAATGAAGTGACGAGTAAAGGGAAAGTGGTAGTGTGAGAATAGGTGACAGGATGTGGGTTATCTCTTCATCCGTCTATCCGTTCGTTTCCTCACTCTAGCCGTCTTCATTCATAACCCTTCCTCGCCATCTCCCATCTTATCCCAGATCCCACTCTTTTACTCGTTACTCATCTCACCAAAAGCATTCTTAAGGATCTGGAGGGTAATAAAAAAGGATAACATGATGAAGGAAGAAGTCTTGTCCATCCGATGGCCAGTTCTTTCCTGGGGAGTCATTTGGAAGGACACGGCATCTACTTTCTTGGTTGGGATTCCTTGGTTGCTTTGCCTCATCTTGAAACCAGATTACTCGCCCCAGTTTAATTAACAGGTGTTCCCCTCGAGTGGTCTGAACTCCCACCTTTCGAGCGGCCCACCACCCCTATCAACCAGGAACCTTATTTTCATCTGGGATCAACCCACTAAAAGAGAACGCCAAGCTTTTCATTCAGGGTCCAGAATGTTTCAGGTCTCCCTCTATTTCCCCTTAAAACATCACCCACACCAAGGCACACTGAGCTATGGCTCAAGAACGATGCTTAAAAAACACCAAAGAAAGGGAACATTTATAGGGTCCCCTGATGAATCTGGGCATTTGGGTTTCCAAGAACTCAGGAAGAAAAAACTATGGCTAATAGGTACCCGAAATGGAACCCTGATAAAGGGACACATGGATGAACATGTGCGATCCGGTGGTTGAATTTCGACCCATACCCAAATTTATAGGGGCCCCTCGGCGTTCTTTCGCTTTTCGGCGGCCCGTCTCTCACGGTCAAAGGGACACCTGCAAAATCCGACCGAGAAGCCGAAGCTGCAACCGGCCTGGCGGCACGCCTCGGGGCACAGCTGAAAGAGCCCCACCTGAGGCGCTGTTGGCGACGTTTGGCTCGGAGTTTACCCGAAACATGGCGGCCTGCCGTCTTCCTTTCCCCTTCTCGTTTTCGGAGGTGTTTCTTTTTCTTGGGGGGGGGGTGTTAAAGGGAAGCCAAGGGGAACACCCCGGTTGCGCCATGTTTTGTTGTGCTTTTTGTTTTGGGGGGGGGGGCATTTTAAGACAAACCCAAATGGGAAAGTCTCAAAATAGGGAAGCACTCCATGTCGAATGGCCTTTAATGGGCAGCCAAAAGGAACTCGGCCGCTGGGTCAACCCCGAGCGGCCAAGGCGGAAGGATACGGATGGTTTACCCGGGGTCATTCCCTACTGAGCAACACAACAACATGTTTGATTGTCTGGGGGCAGGGGGTGGAGGCCGAAGTGATTGCGTTCTAAATCCACACGAAGCCATTGAGGCTCAGGTTCCCTGCTGTTTCCACTCAGAGACACACGTACTTTTGGTGTTTGACAAAGCGCGCTGATGTTGCAGCATACTCTTCTCTTGGGCATACAGAACACAGAACTCAACCGTTTGTTGCAGGCTCAAAGCCCCAAGAAAAAAGCACCATTGGGCACTTGGGGACAAAACCAATGCTCTAACGAAGAGTTGCGGGTAGACTCTTGTCCACGATACGGGTCTTAGGTGGGTGGCTGCCCTTGGAAATCACCCCACAAAAAATATACACACACACCCGAATTGATACTCCTGGCCCGAGTCTCGAGTCTGGGGCCGTGCGAACCCCCTGCCTCACATCGCGGTGCGGATCCGTTGGCACAGCCTCACATCGCGTTTGCTTCGCGTTGCTTCGCGGGAGGGAAGTGGTCTTCCAAAACTCACTTGGCCAGTGACCCGCCAAAAACCAGTGCACACTTTTTGGGGCCACTAAAATAGAGGGAGAGCCAGGAAAAAAGTGTAAAGTGCTCCCACTGGCTGGGTGAGAAAATGGTTGGTTTTCTTCTCGTTCGAAAAGGACCATTTTGAGAACTTGCATGGGTGCTTCTCACAAGGAACCCCTAAGGACGGTTGGTGTCCTTTTGGTTTCATTTGACAATTGCGAAGTCCTTTATGAGAAACAGCCACATTCAGAGGGTGAAGGTGGTCCAAAAAGGAGTGCCAAGACTCTGGCACTTATGCGTCATGGTTCTGCCCTTGCGGCGGCCTGACACTGCTGTTGAAGGACTGGTGAATGATGATCGCTTCGGGGATTGTTTCAATCCTAACCTGTTTCTTAGGCCCACAAGCCAAAACATAATTCATGAAGGTGACCAAATTACTTTGGGGCTGTGAAAATCGGAGCCCCTGGCTAAAAAAAGTTCCCTATCTCCTTTGTGGCAAGGCAAGCGGCACTTTAGACTAACTCCAGTGCCCGAGCCTGCGGTTCCGCTTCTCCCTACGTTCCGCCATGTGCAGCAGCCTTGCGGCCAGCTACAGTCGAAAACCTCTCCTTGGACGACTTGTTTCTTCAGTTTGGAGCGGTTCCATGTTCCTTCTTCTTTTTGGCTCGCCGCGCCTGGCCAGCCGCGCTGGTGCGCGGCTGGCTCGGTCTGCCGGCAAAGCCGGCAGAAGACTTCTCAATCTATACCCTCCAGAACCTAAACCCTAGACCTAAACCTGTTGGGTTCTAAGATGGGCCAAGTGGGGCCAAGTGGAGCAGTCAATCCCGGGGCTGGCGCTCCCTTCCTCGAGTCCCACCAAAAGTGAACGTGGGCTCACCGCTGTAAACCTGCGAGTTGCGAGCGTGAGAACTAAGCGACAGGCTCTGCGTTTGGTTCCAATGGCTGTGAACGGCTACGTGTGAGCCTCCTCATTAGTGGGAGGCTAGAATTCTGTGTCCAACTGAGTAAAATGTCAAAATGGGGTCTGGTACTCTTTGGTCCATTTGAAAGAAACGTTGTAAGAACTCACTCTCACTTGCCCAAAGGACCCAGAAATGAAAGGTTAGCCCCTTGACACAAAATGGGAATCAGGGAAACCCAAAGGTCAAAAGGTCTGCGCAAAAGGGGAGAGTGTTCATGGGTGTTTCTCCAAATAGAAGCCCAGAATGGGCTGGTTCCAACTTGTTAAAACTACCACCATTTTGAGAAGCCCAGTACTTGAGAGTTCGGCCAAGCTAGCAAGTGGTGCCAGGCTACAACCTAGAAATCCCCCCAAGTGCAGTTCGCCTGGTTGCACATAGGTTGTAACCTAGGCGCATCGAGCACCCAAGCAGCAAACTCCCACCGGGTAACCTGAGTCACAAGCAAAACCTGGTACGAAAATGGTGAACCCCGAACCGTGTAAAGAAAGGCGGCCACTATTTCCGGGCACTGCCCCTTACGAACCTTTCACCTCCCCCGGTTTCGAGAGTGAACATCCCAATCCCCACTAAAATGGTTGGTGCACCTACCAACCAGAATGGGACCCTTTTGGTTTTGACAACCACAGCCACTTGACTCCAACGCGCTCGCGGCGCGGCGACCCGCGACGCGCGGCTCGCGGCTCGCGACGGGCGACGGGCGAGTCTCGACTCGTGGCCCTGGCAGGCGGCGGCCATGTCCGCATCCACCGGCAGGCGAAGGCCCTGGCGCCCGAAGCTCGCAGAGCTCAGTGGCTCCAGCAGGTAGCCTCGAACGAACCCGTCGGTACCTTGGGGACCCCCAAATGGGTGGCTAAAGGAAAAGCGCTCCTCTATTTGGAGACAAACCCCAACAGTGGGATTTAACAACTTGACCCCTCCCCAACCCCTAAAGGTACCCTCTTGAGCCCGATTAAAAACAGCAGTGACCCTACCCAACCCCCAACACCAGAACGAAAGCCGGCAGAATCTGCCGGGTGTCCCAAGATTTCCCCTATGTGGCTTCAAACATCACATGTTGGCTCATTCCAAGTGAGTTTGCTTTCGGCAGGTTGATGTTCAAAGGATAAGTGTAGGGAAATGCTTGAAGCACGCATCCAAAAACCATCTACTCTGGCCCTGAATCGGTTGCAATAGCTCCCGTTCTGAATCAGTATATGAGGTTTGGTTAAGACGTTAGTCTATGGTCCATTTGGGGGGGACATTGGGAGTCCAGAACACCTTCCTTGATACCTTGCTTTATTCCCCCCCCCCCCCCAAACAAGACTAACATGTTCCTCTTTTAAGAGTTCAACAACCTGCTGTGGCTTCTTGCGTTTTGTGAACTGCGATTTGTTTAACGTCAACCTTCCTCAACCTTTGTATAGCAAGAAACTCAGAAGCTTTCTGCAATGAGTACAGACACAAACAAACAAACAACAACTAGCTGATCCTGTCCAGCTGGTCGGCGTCCTGTGTCTGTGTCCTTTCAATCTGTTTAGAGACAATCCCGCGCGAAGAATGAGTACAGACACAAACGAAAGCAAAGGTCCTGTCCAGGTGGTGTCCTGGTTCCTTTCAAAAGGATTACCCTGTTCAACAAAAAGCAAAAAGCGGATCCTGCCAAAAACAAACAAACAAAAACAAACAAAAACAAACAACAAACAAAAACAAACACAAGGTGGCCGGCGTCCTGTGTCCTTTCAACCTGTTTAGCTAGACAGCCCCAAAAGCGAAGAGCGGCGGCTCCGCCGAACTCTTTCGGGGCCTCTGGAAGGCCCGGTTGGCCGCAACCCCGCGAAGAGCGGCAAGCGCTGGCCCGCCTCCGGATGCGGCAGTGGACTCTCCCCTGTGGTGAACAAACCCCAAAAAATACTCAGATCACCTGAAATTGCTGGTTTGGATGGGTGGTTTGGGGAATCGATTTTCTTAGATGGTGAATGGGATTGCTGGTTTGGAGTGGTGGTTTGGGGAATGGATTTTCTGGCTTTGGTAGACGGTGAACGGGAGCCCCCTCCTTGCCAAACAAACAGGCGAATTGCTCGGTAGCTCCTTTCAGTGTCCGGATCCGTCCCGGAATTCTTCCATTACAATAAAAGGACCGAAAGGAAACTCGGCGGGGAGGTGGAAAAAACATAATTACCAACCGGAAGCTGAGGTGAATTCCGCTGGCTTTCCTTGTGGTTCCGGTTGCGTCTCGCGGTAGAATGGGAAGTGGGCGCTCGAACAAATGTGTTATGGGGAAACATGAAAAGAATTCAAGGCCCATATTGCCCTGGTTGAACCACAGATGCGCCTGTGTACTCCCACGGATGCTCCAAAGGAAAACTAGTTCATGTGATTTACCTACAGGTTTCGGTTCTCAAATGGAGACTCCAAATGTGAGCGGCGTTTCTGGTGCTACCCGTTGGAACGTTTGTTCTTGAAAGGAAACCACAGGGAAAACAATTTTGAGGGTATTAGGAAACCAAAGGGAAAACCACCTTGTTGATGGGTCCCTTAAAAGACACCCAAACAAGAGAGCGACGTTCTCTTGGTTCTCAACGGAGAATGAGAAATGGAATGACCCCTATAAACCATCCATGTCCTATGGTTTTCTAGGGGGAATCCCCTTCCGGCTCATTCCCAACACCCGGACTCGGTCATTCCCTACCTATCGCACCAGCAAGCAAATGGGCATCCTCTTCATTTACTGGTGGAAACTGATCCACGTCTGGGAGGTTCAAGAAACCAGGTGGTTTCCATTGAAACTGATCCACGTTTGGAGGCTCCCTTTAAAGGGAAATGGGGCTCGGAAACCCCGGACAACCCCAAAAAGGCTGTTCATCTGATGGTTTCCCCTGACAACCCAAAAAGGCTGTTCAAATTTACTGGTGGTTTCCATTGACCCCCCGGGAGCTTCAAAAAACCAAGCAGACGCCTCGAACCGAGCCCATCCGGCGCCTGCGCGGCCACGGCCAGGCGCAGCGGCTCGTGGGCGCAGCCGCTGCTGTCCACCAGGGACTCAAAGGCGAGGTTTAACCCGGCGACTTCCCGGCGCCGTGAGTAAAGGGAACCCGGTTCAGAGAGAGGGAGAGCCAAAAAAGATGTGCATACCTGTATGCCTATATATGTAGACATAGAGAGATACTTCAGAATAAGAAGCAACACACACACACACACAGCTCGTGGTAACAACACCAAAGTCTGCTTTGGTTTTCCTAGGAGCTTGAGTCATGATCACAACCTGGTACTTCAGTGGCATACCCAGAAACATGGCTAAAGTCAAGAGGGCGTCTTGCACCTATGTATGGCTGCGAACGCCACTACAATCACCAGTCGCTCACTCACTTGCTTGCTCGGGTCGCTTCTGTGAAAAAAAGCACCCAAATGAGCATCCAACATGAGGAAGTTCGAAATAAACACGGCCGGTGTAAAAAAAAAAAAAAAAAAAACGGTTCCGGGAAACTACTTTCGTCTGGCGCAAGAACTGACTGTTGCATATCCCAGGATCCAGGGCACCACTCTCATTGCACCACGTCTCTCGTTTCCCGCTCGCATGCCCTTTTGTGTAGCTTTGGCGAAGGCGCCCTGTGACTCCAAAGCTCCGGGCTCTTGTTACATGAAGCCAACGGCAGTGAACCCAGCGGCAACCCTTCCTTTTGGGCGGGGTTCATGCAGCTAAGCTGGGGAGGGGAGTGTTTTGGTTTGCGTCAAAAACTGTTTGGATGTTCGGGCAAGTTAGCAAGTTGTTGGTAACCTGTACGCCTCTCCAAGTGGGGTTAACCTTGATAGAAAGTTATCAGCCCGAGGTGCGACCCTTGGCCCAAATTGGGTGGACCACATTTTCTGAAGCCATTTACAAGCATCCTCGAAATTCAACACACTAACATGTGGGTGTGGTCTTGAGGGTGCCCCCTTTTTTGTGTTTGTTTAATGGACAAAAGGAAAAACACACGTACACACACAAACAAAAGGAAAAGAACATGTGAGGCTCCCCAAAAGAAAGACAGACCAGTATGGGCAGTATGGGTATGAATCTACTTCGGAACGCTCACATGGTAACTGCCCGTCGTTCTCTCTCCTCGAGGCGTCTCGGTTTCTAAGGTCCCCCGCTGGGATCACAAAGACCTGCTCCGTCTCCTCCTGATCGATTCGACTTGGCCGAATAAAAACCCCAAATAAATAAGAACCCAGTTTTTACTGGGGAACCGCCACGCCCAAAAGTGTCCGGATCCCAAAAGAACGCCCCCAGTCAAAATCAAGCCGGGGTCTAGTAATCTGGGGTTAACATTCTGGTAGATGGGACAAAGACCATGCTAGGCACAAAAAGAAAAAGAAGCTCGAGTTGAATGGTTGATAAACCACCTGGTGCAGATGTTTGTCCACATCCCTCCCTGATTGATCCTACTCGTGGGGAACAATCTTTTGACCACTGCTATTTGATTCTCGGACCTGACCCATCCAGACGGCTGGGTCTTTTCCTCCGTCTCTATCTTGGCCCAGGTGTCAAGGAGTTTCTTGGCATCGGTCTTCTTGACGCGAGAGGAAATCTCTCCGTCATCCTTCTTGACCCTGTCTGAGGAGGCGATACAAGTGGGCAACGACTACTTCATCACTTTACAGGGGTATGAAAGAACCTCTTTGTTCTTGCGGGGCCCCCCTGTTCTCGACACATACCCACATGCACGCAACTGCAATACCTAGCAAAACTCCGAACAGTGTGTTCGCTTTCTGTCCTCCACATTGAACCCACATTGCGCCGATCGGCAATACAAGAGTTCCGCAGGCATCGTTGGCTACACTCGGAAACGGTTCCTCCTGCAACTGGGACTTGTTTTTGGTTAAAGTCAACCGGACAAGATTCGCATCCACGAGAAATCACCACTTTTTTGGTGGGGTATGTGTTCGTTTAAGCACAACTCCTGACTGTGGCCAGTGACAAAAGGTGACGTGATCACTCTTGGGAGCAAAAGCAGGCTGCAACACGCTAAACGCGGGGAGGCTAGAAATGCTTCTGGGTTCTACATAGATCTGGAGTCAACAAATGCAGAGGCCGTGTTGAAACATATTTGGATTGGCTTGAGGCGTTCCGGGCCGGGGGTAGGTTTTCAATCCATGGCATGTGAGCAAAACACAAGCCTCTTTTGGCAGCCACCCACTAAAAGCATAAAGATGATCTTTGAACAAGAACACACACACAGACACACAGACACACAGACACACAGACACACAGACACACAGACACACAGAGACACACAGACACACAGACACCCAGACGCACAGACACACAGACACACAGACACACAGACACACAGACACACAGACACACAGACACACAGACACACAGACACACAGACACACAGAGACACACAGACACACAGAGACACACAGACACACAGACACACAGAGACACACAGACACACAGACACACACGCACACACAGACACACAGACACACAGACACACAGAGACACACAGACACACTGACACACAGACACACAGACAGACAGACGCACAGACGCACAGACGCACAGACACACAGACACACAGACACACAGACACACAGACACAGACACACAGACACACAGACACACAGACACACTGACACACACACACACACACAAACAGAGTAACAGAACACCACGCCGGGAACGGGTGAAGACCAAACAAAAACGACGAATCCCTGGGCCCGCGTCTTCTTCCGCGCGCGACGCCCGCGACGTCTCGCCTCCCGCAGCGACGTGTTCTCCGCGCGCAGGGGCGCGTGCAGCGTCTTGCAGCCCCGGGACACCAGGGCGGTGAGCGGCACGTCGCCTGGCCCCCCAGGTGATTGAAGAGAATATATATATATATATATACACTTTTTTGTATGTACATTAAAGCTCAAAACAGAAGACTGGAGCCATCATTTTGATTGTTCCTGGGGGTTGTCAAAGTCAGAAAATGGTGTTGTTTCACTTTCGAGAAAATGGGGGCAGTAAAAAGGGGCGGGAAGACACGTGGGTGGCTCATCGTTTTTTCGGGAACCCGCCAGAAAGGTAAGGCGCGCCGCCGAATCAAGATTCGGAGCCAAGATTGGAAAAACATGATTGCGACCATCAAGATTTTGTTTTGGGTCAAGCTTCAGCCCAGTTCTACTGGAGCAGAGTAGCTGCCTTACTGTCATGGTGTTTGTGGATGACTTCACGCTCCTTCTGCGCAAGCTGGCTGGACTTGAGGCGGCGGGCGTCTTTCTGCTGTTGTTGGATGCCCCATCTCAAGGCACAAGATCCCGCCGATGGAGCTATCGGGTCCTTCTCAGGCGTACCGGACACAGCGCTCGTGGCAACCGTCCCGATCACCCTCGGGTCGTGAAGACGAGGTTGTGCTGGGTCCTGTCCAGGTGCACCGGATCCAGCGCTTGTGGCAGCCGTCCGGCGCGCGTTTGGATTGTGGAGAGTGGTGATTGCCTGGCCGATGCTTGTTCACCCGCAATCATTCTTTCTCCTTTCGCCACATCAGCCCACTCTGAAAAAGGTGGTTTGTAGACATCAGGGCATCACCCCCTTTGCCTTGACCAGCCACCGTGTCCTTTCAAGGTTTCCGGCTCTTCCTGAATTTGGGCCCCCTTTTTTTCCCGGTTTTTGGTGGAGCATGCCTCTCAACAGAACTCCCTCCCGAGTACATCATTCCTGATTTGCGCGAATGCATTGGATATGGACAGCGTGTCATCCATGGACATCCGGAGCGCCACCCGGTGCCACACCTTCCTCGGCGAGGAGATCGACGCCACCACCATGAGGAGGGATGTTTGCCAGATCATCACCATCCTCTTCCACTCCTTTTCCGAGGAAGCCATAGGACTCTTCAATGATCCACTCCGAGTCCTCTTTGATTGGCGCTTCTGGTACTTCAGCTCGCCTGGTTTGGGGTCAAGAGCCGCTACCTTGTTGAGGCCGAGGAGGGATCCTGTCGGGAACTCCCCCCACAGAATCCGCTTGAGCACCCCGAGCAAGTGGTCAGATCCTTCATATTCCACTTCCGGCTTGATCCGCCCAACGTCCGCACCAGTCCAGTTGGGTGACGAAGCCCGCTGTGCCATCAGCAGCCAGGGCACGTCGTGTTGTGTGAGAATTTGCCTGGCATGCTCGTCGAGTTTTTCGACCCAATCCTTGTACCCCTGCAGGCAGGGAGTTGGGGGACGAGCCCCCTCCTGGACCTCTTCGGCCGGCCGCTTGAGGTCAAAGGCCATAGGGAGTGGAGGGTGGGGATCAAGTCAGGGACTTGAGCCAAAATGGCCCCGAGGCAGTCGTACAACCGAGTTCACAAGCAAGACCGGAAGGGGAAGCTAACAGCACTAGGCACTATGACATCCCAGTTTTCCCAAAACAAGCTTGGTCAACATAAGAATACATAGACTAAAATAGGTGGTGCATCTACCCAAAAATGGTACCATTGGTTTTGACCCACAGCCAGTTGGATGTGTCTGTGGTGGTTTATTCAGCTTCCCTTTGATAGGTGGCTTTCCCCCGTGCCCTCTACAAAAGTCAGGGGTTCAAATAATCCAAACCACCCACTAAGGGTTACCTGATCTATTCCTAATGGCTGGGAATAATCAGGGCAAGGCAGTCCAATATTAGCCCTTGACTGTTTCAATTGTTATGTCTCTCCTTGTTGAAAGATGCTGGCACAACAAGGCATCTGCGTGCAGTGACGTGGGCCAAGTAACATGACCCTCTCAAACAAACCAAACTCACGAGTGGAAAACACACACACACACCAAGGAACAAAAATGGGCGCAAGGACTCCCAGAATCCAGCTGGACTTCTCAAGCAAAGCCATCTAGCATCTAATCTTGAAGCCTCCAAAAGCTCTTCTAATTAACTTACCCCTAATTGGTGGTTTGGTTTGGTGGTTGAAGCAGGTTTCTTTCGGGGAGATGCAGGGAGCCCTGGAAGTAAAGCTCAGGGAAGTGCGAGACATGCCACTAAAATATGTTTTTCCCCAAAAAGCGACGAAAGTCCAACTCAGGAAGCGAGCAACGCACGGCTCGCCCGGAGCCGAAACCCCTTCCTCCCGCCGGCCCCCGCCTCGCATGGCGAGGCCCAGCACACCGCCGCTGTAGGACGTGGCATCCCCGTCGCGGCACAGCAGGAGGTCCTCCATGGCAATGCCTGCGGCCGCAAAAAAGCGAGGGCAACCCGGCAGAAAATAACACATCGAAAAGTATAAATGACCCAAAAATAGAATGCCGCAAAAGAAAAACAAAAAAGGGGTTGCCGGCAGAAAATGAAAAAAACATGAATAGAATAAACCGAAATAGAATAAACACCTATAAATACAAAAATGCATGACGATATGTGTCATACAGCAGTAGACATATAGTGAATAAACAAATAATGAGTCGACAACATAGATCAACTAATCTGCATGTGTCTGTGCGTGTCTAAATGGGGAACTCCCTAAGATGGGGACTGTCCCTCTGAATCATTTTTTTAAACCAGTCCAGCCCCCAAAAAGTTCCCGAAGACAGATATGTACATATAATATGTGCATATATTTGTATATATATGTATGCATCTGTGTGTATATGTGCGTGGTTGAGTGTGTACTTGTTTGTGTTGGGGAGTTCACCATAGGAGGCAACGAGACATCTTCCTTTTGGCTTTGAACGGTGTTTCCCTCGCCCAATTGATCACGTGAAAGAAGGAAGCAGCCCTACCCTGCTTTGGCATGGCTGAAGGGACCCCGCCAAGTGGCCCATCCAAGGGTGCCCCACTATGTAAACCTGGGCAGAAACCGAGATGCGGGGTGCCCATGAGCGCCCTTGCAAGAAGGCATTGGTATGCCCTGAGGCATTCTGAGTACGGGCATGTTTGGGCCATACTCAGTGACCTCAGGCTCGAGTAGCGGAACCCTTCAAAACCTGGGCAGCAAGTCATAAGAGCAAACTGGTCACCTCCGACGATTTATATGCAAACCCTCGGACAGGCGAAATCTCCTCTGGCACCCCCGAGAAGTAAAGGCTTCCTGAGATATGTCCCCGATAAACATCACCAAACAGAAGCTCAATTGGCCAAACAGGCGATGCTTCAACCACCAAAGAGGACCAATCTGATCCCTGGAGTGGCCCCCTCAAACTACCCTCTCAAGAATGAATCTCCTCTGGCACCCCCTTTTGTACAGGCTTCCTTCTATGTCCCCTATAAACATCTCGAAACAGAAGTTCAATGAACATTCGCCAAAGAATAAACAAGCATGGCTGGAGTAGACCCCTCAAATTACCCAAGAATAAACAAGCAAGAATTGCCCTCCCTTTGGGCCATCTAGGCACACTCTTTCAAATCCCTTTCCGCCAGGGCAGCCCATTCATGGAGCATGACGAGCCTGGTTTGGCCGTTTGGCCCCCGTTTTCGTCGCGCCATTTCTCTGGAGGGTTCTGTGCCGTGCGCCATTGGCCACTATACAAGGGCCTAGATACTTGGAATGGGCCATCAAACCAACTTCCCTCATCCTGGCACATCAATGTGCGTAACTATTCTTGGCCCTTTCCATTGGCCCCTTCCCTCGAACTAGGGCCCCCAAAAACAGCTGGTAGCTCCTTGCTTGGGATTTTTTTTCAACCACAAGGGGCCCCAAGCTCCTTCCACAGCGTCGCGCCGCCAAATTCTCGCGCGACGACCCCCTCGCGCCTCCGATGACCGCCGCGTTGGGGCAGCGGCGCTGCATGGCCGCCACCGCGAGCTCGGGGTCGAAGGTGCCGGACCTCAGGCGCCGCTGAAGTTCTGGGCCGAAACCAGAGCTGAAGCCCTCAGAAATAACACCACCCAGGATATACCTTCAATCGCGGACAAAACCTGCAAAGAAACGCAGCCAGGTCTTTTCCTGCACCCCACAAGGACCCAACCAAAAAAAGGCCCAATTTCGGGGTCACCAAAAAAAAACCAACTTCGGGGTCAGCCGCTTGTTTTTCCACCCAAAAAAGGCCAAATTTGCGGGGTCGGCCCTTTTTTTCCACACGGAAAATGGCTCACCAAAGGAAAGGTCAACCATTTGGACCAAGCATGCAGGCCGGCCTGAATCCCCCACGCCCTGGTTTCCTCTTTTGAGGGAACCGAAGGGATCCAGGAACTTGTCCACATCCTGATTTAATTACATCTGGACCAACTTGGCTGAGGATGTGATTTAGAGAGTCAGGAGACCATGGACAGATCACACCTCCGAGGATGCAAATTGAGATGTGGGAAGGCTCTTTGAGATTGGAATCCACTCATCCAACATCTCCTTAAGTGCCCGGAAATCTAAAGTTCCAATTGCGATAGATTCCGTTTCACACCAACCGGGAAAAAATAGAATAATTCACAAGTATTCTTTTCAGCCACTAGACCTCCAACATCCCAGCGCCTTTTTTCACGTGACCTTGAGGCCCCGAGCTCACGCTCCCCGGGGGGCCAGGGCCGGGGCCCCGGCAGGCGCTTGCAGCCCAGGATCAGCACCACGGTCTTCCAGTCCGCGCCGGACGGCGCGCCGAAGAAGGACATGTCGTGGTCGAAGGCGCGCTCCGCCGGCACGAAGAAGCTCTGCCTGGGGGCTTGGAGGGGGGGGGGGAGCTTTGGGGTGGCTGGGGAGCGGGGTGGGTGGGGGTGGATGGATGGGGGTGGGGGTAGTGGGGGTAGCGGGGGTGGGGGGTAGATACTGGGATTACCCGAAACAATAAGCCTGAAAGAACAAGGCTTTACCTGAAAATGGTGTCACAGAGCAGGGCTGGGCTTTGGGGGGTTGGGGGGTGGGAGGTTCGGGGTTCGGGGTTCGGGGTTGGGGGTTTGGGAGGGTTGAGGCTTTGGACCGTTTTGGGGTAGGGCTGCAGTGAACCATGTCCAATTGCCACTTCCACTTCCCCCAAGAACTGTTTCTAGGATCATTTCCGGGCAATTTGGGAGACCGGCGGTTTTCTGCACGAGGGGCTTGGGCCCCAAAAAGCACGAATGCGCGTGGGACGCCGGCACTATTTACTCACTACTGGACTCGATCATGCTTGTACTGGGGGCAATAAACATCAACAGGTGCTCCTTTAAAGGGAGTCCTAAAACGGATAGTTTGTGTGTTCATGTCAATCTCCAGTGGAGTGATAGTAAAAACCATTGGACCTGCCTGATGTTTGACTCCGTACCCACGCTGCCAAGAGAAAAAGAGCTTGTTTTGAGGGTACCTTTTGTTGCAGGTTTTAAAGGAACACCAAAAGGAAAACAACCATTTTGTGGGTGGTCCTCTACAAAGAACACTTTTGCTTTAGGGGAGGGCCCACAACAAGACACACCCGAATCAACTAAACCATCCCCATTCCTTAGCCCCCCCCCCCTTTCCACGCCCGCGCAAAGGGCAGAGCCAAGTTGTTCGCCAAAAGATCAACCTCCATCGTGTCTGCCAATGTGCAGAGGAGACTCTTCCAAACGTTGAGACGTGAGTCTCTGACTGCATACGTGTAGTGTCTGATGCAGAAAAACAACAACAAGCCAAAACAAACCAAGCAAGCAAACAAACAAGCACAGAAGAAAGCAAGCAACTATGCAAACATGCAAACAAGCAAACAAACAAACAAACAAACAAACAAACAAACAAACAAACGAATAAACAAACAAGCATACAAGAAAGCAAGCAAGCAAGCAAGCAAAGCAAAGCAAAGCAAAGCAAAGCAAGGCAAGGCAAAGCAAAGCAAAGCAAAGCAAAGCAAGCAAAGCAAGCAAGCAAGCAAACTAGCAAGCTAGCTAGCAAACCAACCCAAACGAACCAACCAACCAACCCAACCAACCAAACCAAACCGACCCCAAAAAGCAGAACCAAGCGGAGCAATCAACCAAACCAAACCAACCCAAAAAGACAAAGCAACACAAGCTAAGGGGAGCCTAAAGATCTGAACCAAACCAAAGCGACCAAACCCAATCCAACAATCAAGCCGCAGCAAGTCAAACCCAACTTCGAACCAATGCAAAACAAACCAATCCCCAAAGCCGAATCAAGCCAAACACAACGAGGAAAAACAAAAAACAAAAAACGCGCCCTCCCACCAACGAACCCGTCCTCTAGAAAGGATGCGAAGCCCTAGTTCCAACCTTTAACCATCACCCTCAAAAGGAAGACTCACCTTAAACTGCCCCAAGTGATGTCTACCACCACCGCGGCCCTTTCAATAACTACTCCCCTATTGTTCAAAACCACACGGAGCAATGGTAGGCACCCCTGGCGCGTTCGGCTCAGCGGACACGCACCCCACCGCAACCCCCTTTCCTGGATGCGAATCGAGGCACATCTCCGCGCCGGGGAAGGCGCCCAGCATCAGGGACAGCTCGCCCTGCCTCGGCGAAAATGAAGCCGCCGTCTGAGTTGGCGGTGGCTCAAAAAACCGGTACAAAAACGGAACCCTGGTAAGTGGAAACATGGACCAAAACCCGCGGTTTGCCCCTCCTGTGTAATTTTGAGCCACGCCCATTTGTTGTTGCAGCCTGGAGGATGCCTTGAAGTTCCAGCCCAAGCGCTCTTGCCCTGTTTGCGGGTGGCGTGTCTTTTTTTTTTGGGGGGGTACCTTGGTTGGTGTTGTTTTAAGGGCAAGATGACGGAAGCCCCGTTTTGAGTTGTCCATATTTTGAGACAGGCATATGTTGTGTTCCGGACTGGACAGTTTCCGGTCATCCACCAATTCGTACTCCCCACGGATCAACACGGAACTCAGAAAGCCATCATTTGCTTTCCTCCTCGGGATCGGACCCCGTTTTGGGTTCCATGTCAATTTGCGGAAGTCAGGGCACCAAGGTCCATCAAGACCTCCATAAGCTATCTTCACTTTGCCCTTTGCCTGACTTCGCAAAGGTTGTCGTTTGCTCGTGCCGGGCTTCCAAGCCCCAAGGAAACTGGGGGAACATTTGGTGCTTGAAAGCTTTGATATTCGCTCGTGCGATACATTCCGGAATGAATAGGATGCTTCAATGCTTCAAGCACGGTTAAACTTATGCTTGCAGAAATTGCTTCAACATCTGGGGGCCACCAAGTTGTTGGCCTCCTCCCTGGGTTGAAGAAAATGGCCCCATTCCTGGCATATTTGAGATGAACCAAGCACATTCAACCATATCCAATCACTCACATAACCCAGACCCCCCCACTGGATTTCCATGGGCAACAAAAGGGGCACCCGGTTGATCTCAAAACTATGCCCAGCTGGTATCCCCAACAGTTTCCGAACCCTTCCAGAACCCTTCCGGAACCCTCCGGAACCCTCCGGAACCCTCCCTGAAGCTGCCCCGAACCACCCCAAATGATCCTATCTGGGCCTATCGCCCCCAAAGCTTTCAGCTATTAGGGAAAGACACCGGGCAGTTTCTCTCTCAACTGCTCCCCCGCAGCGTGTGTCTGTTTTCTGAGGATGCCCATTTTGGTGTTCGAGGTAAACCAAACAGAAAAACAAAAGAAACAAACGCGTTGGGTTTTCCTTGGGCCTCTCTTTTTTCCGCAACCCAAAGGTTTCGAGCCCCACCCCACACTCGGGCACCCTGCGCAGGCGCAGTCCCGCCCGACGGCAGCATCTGCCCCAGGCCTGTACGTGGGTTTTGGGGGTTGCTCAAAATAGATTTTGGGGGTAAACCAAAACAGCCGTTTGCAGGAGAACTCCGTTTTCAATTTTCTGTGTCTTTCTTTTTGCGCCTTCGTTGGCGGAAAATAGACTTGGGGAAAACACGCATTCTTCCTAGAGACCACCCCCATTTTGAGAGACAAACCGACTTTCCATTTGGGCAAGGAATTCCGCGCAGCCCACCAACTCCTGATTGGAAAGAGGGTACAAGTGGAAAGCCAGCTTCCCTCCAACAAACATGGAACCCTTTCTAAAAGAATTTGCTTTCCAAAAGGAGTCTATGTACTTCCATGTTCTTGGCAGGCAAATACAAGCGCAGATGTGTGCGTGGGTATATGTCCCTTGGAGACATCAGCGGGCACACAAAGGGCCTAGAGGGTTTGTAATCATACTTTTACCAGAAAGCTACCAACAAGTTTTGCTAGACCAGTACTTGTACCAAGAGAAGGCTTTACACCTAAATGAATCCTCAAAGAAATCCACAACAATAGTGGTGACACTTGGGCTTGCATCTTTTGAATCAAGGGAAGGATTGCATCCCCCCTATATCCGCCTTCAACTCAAGGATACCAAACTTTGTGTTGGGGATGATGGCGTATGTCCCTTTGCATCTTTTGCTTTGGTCGATCCACCAAAGTACGGATATTTTGATCGGTGGATGCAAGCTGTCTGCCTGGAACAAGCCCAGTGGAAACTCGGGAGGGAGGGTACCACTGTTGCTCCTACTGATTTGATGATGTGAATGGTGCTTAAACAAATAGAGGCATTGATTGCTGCATGCTGCCTCATGCGCTTGATGATACCTTCAGGCAACCCGCATCACATGTCATACCATCATACCTGAACCTGCCATTCTTCTGAGGAGAACCATCTCATGGTAGCAACAAACACGCCAAAAGCAGGCCACCAGCTGGCAAATACCAGCTTGAATGATGGCCATCCTCTTGAAGAGGGCAATATGACCTAAACCTCATTCATTGGGCAGCAAAAATAGGGGTGTACTCAAACCCAAAACGCGATACAACCAGCTGGTCCACAACGAAAGAACTGGCAAGCCGTGCACCTTCCTGACTCAAAACTCCCTTTAAAAGAAAGCCCAACACCCTCCTTCGCTCCATGTCTCCACCCCGTCACCCCGCGCCCGGAAAAAAAGGAAAAGAGAAAAACAAAAAAACGCGGAGCGCCTGTGCCCACGCCGATGAGCTGGCAGTCCGGCGGCAGCGCCGCCGCCAGGCGCCGGCGCTCGGCCTGCGAGCCAGCAAGCTTTGTGGGAGAGACGGGAATCCAATCCAAAGGACAACATACGCTGAGCTACTGCGGCCATGCAAACATGCCCTAAAAGATAAAAAGTAAGCCAAAAATACCATAAGACAACGAGGCGCAATGAGTTGTTCTCTTATACTCTCACTTCCGAACGAGTGGATTGGCCCAAAAGGTCCAAGGACTTCTTATTTACCACCAAAATGATCCAAACAAAAGTGACGAACGTCCGAAACGGAACTCAGGAAGTGAGTTGGACAATGGTCATCCCTAAACCTCGGATTTCGATACGTTCTTTGTTCACTACTTTAGTCAAGGGCAAAAAGTTGTAGGATGTTACCAAATGTTGACCTTACTTCCTGAGTGGATTGCCCGAAACAAGTCTGAACTTTTCGTTTGCCACTAAAATTGTCTTCCCAGAAAGATTGAAGTCCATGAAATCAAGAAGTGAGTGACCAAGTTAAACTGCGTTTTTGTTTCCCCCAAAAGCTGATATGAGCAGCACCCAAAACCCATTGACGTTTGGTTCTACCAACACGGCTGAGATGAATTTTCTAGGACTTACACTAACCAAGCCATTTGTTTCCGAAACGGCTCATTAGTTGCCCCCCTACAAGCCTCTGTTCAGTAGCCCCTAGTGCGCAAAAAGTTGAGATTGGAGCCAAATTTTTGACGAATGTCTCAAAGGGACCCAAACACCATACCAAAACGGGGCTCCCTGGGTTTCCCTAAGCCTCCCCACAAGCGCGGCACTCGGCCGGCGCCTGGGAGGAAATTTCGAGGCCGAAGAGGAGGCCCAAACGAGGCGGCGCCAAAAGCTGACGCCGGACTTGCAGCACCTCACGCCGAAGGCTCGGTGATCCGGTGGTAAAATGCATTGCATTGCGTTATACATCATGTATTCTCATGGGGGGTAGGGGGGGGGAAAGGGGATCTTGAGTGGTTTGGTGGAAAACTTTAAAGGGTTTGGTGGAAACTACCACTATCCCCTAAAAGCTGGTGTAAAAACAAATGCCTCCATTTGTTTGAGTCCCCGCGGAAAAAATAGAGGTTGTCCAGTAGTGATAGATTCCCGTTGGAACTAACAGGGGGGGGGAAAGACATATTCCTATAAGCAGGTGGAAGAATACCTTTAACTGCCTTCTACATCATGTGTTTTTATGGGAAGAAGGGGGGTGTAGGGAGGGGGTTGGGGGCAGGGGGGACTGTGGATGGTTGCGAAATCCATTTCGCTTGACTACAACCCTAAGTGCCCATCATACCCAACTCCCCCCCGCCCATCCACCCACAGCCACACCCCTGCTAATTGGCTTTAGTGCACGACACTAGCACCCCCAAAATGGTGTTTTTGTTGTTTCCATTAAAACCAACCTGGGAGGGGTACCCGTAAGGAAAACAAAGCCACATGGGCGTAAATGAAGTGGCTGGACCTCTTGTGATTCACTCACGATGCTTGTAAAGATTGATACAACGGAAGCTTGAGTGGATCATAAAAAAAAGACTTCACTCTACTACTTGGTCTGATCCTACTACTTGGCTTAAGCGAGTCACTCGAGGTCCAAGCCCAACAACCCAAGTGGCCATGCGACAAATTCTCGTGCCCCCAGTGAACATCCCAATCCCCACTAAAATAGACTAAAATGGGTGGTGCACCTACCCCAAAATGGTACCATGGGTTTTGACCCACAGCCAAGTAGACCTCCTCAACGGCGCCTCCTCCAGGCAGTCCCCAGACGTCGCCACCAGACAGGGCCGCTTCTGCACCTCCAGCACTACCAGCAGCAGCAGCCGCGACCCCGCGGCGGCCTCGACTGCCATTTGCAGAGCCCCTGGACAAAATGAAAAAATAGGTCCAGTAGTGAGAGATTCCCTTTAAAACCAACAAGGTCCATTGAAAACAAGGCACCCCATCCAACCAAAAGGAAAAAATAGGAAGCACCTGCCGGAGATCTCTGCGCACCGCACCCCGCCTGGGCGAGGTCGCAAACGCTGAGGTGCTCAAGCGCCCCGAAGACCAGATCCCGCGGCAGCTCGTTCAGGACGTCCACGCCGGGCGCGGCGGGCGCGGCTCGAGGCCGCGCGCGCTCGACTTGGCCGCGGCCTCGCGCGGTCTTGGGCGGGCGGGGCAAGAAGAGGAGCGGTCCACGTTTTTTGGGTTCCCTTCGGGAGGGACTTTGCATGGAACTAGAGGCTCAAAATTGCTCAGAGGGCCTGGAATATGGAAGCTTGGCCATTTGAGATGTTTGCTAAAAGTGGGCCGAAAAGGGGAAGCCAGAAGGTCACAAGCTCAGCTGAGCAGGTAGTATCCGCAGGTTCCAAACCTTCCATATTCAGTCTGGCAGTGCGGTTCAGATGAGCTTGGCATGGGGAACCCCCAGAATGGAAAATGGACACTGGGTTTACCCCCAGTTGCAACCAATGAGCTTGGTGAAACAGACAACTAGGCACAAGCGCACACGGAAAATGATCTGGGTTGCTCCCTCCGCCCGAACGAGCAAAAGGTCCAGATCGACCTCTTGTAGCCTTGATGGAAAAGCCATCTGTGAAACCAAAGATGCGATTCGGAGCACACCAAAGAGCCTGCAGGTTCAGAATCATAGTTTTGCAGGCCCCAGAAGGAGGGAACCCATTTTGGGGGTCCTTTTGGCCTCGAAACTCCGAAAAGTACATCATGGTAGCGCCTTCGGAAATGGCCCGTGTGGGTCTTGTCAAACGGTCTTAACATCTTTTCTGGCCCATGGAGCATATCCTGCAACAACTGGATCTGCACAAAAGACAATTCGGAATCCGAAAGGTGTGCCAAGTTTTAGGACATCAACTAGAGATTGCAACATTGGTTGGCGACATGATTCAGCTCGACCCCTCCTCCCTACCAACCTTTAAGTGGCAGAACAAGGCAAACAAAACAGGTTCACCTCCTCTTTCAAGCTAGCTGCTGGATATTTGGTGGCCTTTGATTGGATCGTTGGGGTTGGAATGTTGCTAAGCTCAGCTTCCCTTGGCAACAGTTACATCCACCTTTGGGAAAATGTGTCAACCCCCGTCAACCCCCTGAAAAAATGTGGAAACAAAAACACCTTCGGGGGGGGGGGAAAGAGTCGACCCCCGAACCTCCGCGCCTGAGCCGCTGGACGCCTCCTTGAGCTTGGCACAGGAGCGCCTGGAAGTGCAGGAGATGCCGGGAATGAGCACTGGAATGAGTTGTCATGGCTGGGGGGGAGGGGGGGAGGGGGAGGGAGCCCTAAAAGACCCTTAAGCCCCTATTAAGGCCGTATTTAGGGCTTGTTTGGGCTCCCTCCCCCTCCCCTCCCTCCCCCCCAGCCCCATGAAGTTGGAACCGGAGGGAAAAAACAAAAAAACATGCAACTGGTAGTGTGCTTAAGGAAATTCCCAGAACCCTTCCCATGCTAGCAACAAGCTTTAGCCCGCTACTAAAAAGAATGAATAGAACCAAAGAACTAAACAAACGAAACACCTGCCGAAAACGGTGAAGGTGATCGTCGTTCGTCGCCAAGATTGGTGATAATCCTTTGTAACTCCTGAGATCCTGCACCTAATTCTTTCTGGTGTGCAAGTCCTGGTTGTGTGGGTGTGTCTCTGTTTAGGCACAGTGAGTAACAACCAGATAGCACTAGCACTGTTTTTGGCACCGACAATATTAGCACAAATCTGGATTCAGAAGCCATTGGGGGCCACCGTGCACCTGTGAGCAGTCATGCAAAATATGATCAAATGCGCAATGGGGGGTGAGAGAAGCTACAAGTTCAGCGCCTCCAGCGCCAAGCCAAGAGTGCGGCGCCGGCCAGACCGGCCAAGCCGCCAACGGCCATTCGTGTGGATGGCATCAAAACCACTACAGTAGGCAACCCGTCGGGTTCCTTACCTCGTTCCCTTCAATAGTGGCTCGCTTTGCTTGGATGTTCGCCCAAGTTAGTGGTTAGGTTCGTGGGATATAGGCCCCCAACAAGGTTAGGGACTTGGCCAATCACCAGTTTTACCCCGCCTGGAACGCCAGGTGCTGTGTTTTGCCCCACTGCGACGGCTTTTTAAGGGGGGAGGGGTGAGGGGGGTGGAATTGGCGATTCAAATGCATCAACAAGCCTTGGCTTGTGTTGTTGAAAATCGCAACCTTTGTCCCTTACAAATCCGTGGTCTGTTTGGTCGAACCACTGTTGCTAAAAGCCTGGCTTGTTCATATTCCACTTGGGTCCATGCAGTATTGCAACAAAAGCAGCCGCATCCCGAGGCGGGTTTGGCTTCACATTGGACGCACCACAAAGTGCGTCTGGCACTTTCGTTGATTTGAGATGAGGCATCGTGATACTTTAGGACACGAGGTTCGTGTTTCTTCACTGGAAGGCAGAAGGATGGGTGTCTCAACATAGGAGGAAACCCAGAAGGGGTTGAAAACCGGTCCATCGATTTGAGCAACCCCCAAGTGGGTTTGTCTTTTTTTTGAGGGCGCATTCTTGTTTGGTGGCTTGAAAGGGATGTCGTGCGCTGTGCCCTCTGAAAGCTTCTCTCAGCTGGCGGCGAGGGAACTCGAACGTCCGATGCCGGCGGCAGCTTGTCGGTTCACCCTATGACTGCTGGTTCCACTATGATGATGACACCAAAAGGAAAACCACGCCCCTAGATCGACACATACTCGTTTTGCAGCTACTAGTCCGATTTGTTTCCGGAACCCCCTTCTAAAATGGCAACCCATGTGGGTTTCGGGTGTCAACAAGCCCGAGGTGATGTGTTTGCCCCCGCTTGCGGAGAAACCACCGAGCCCCAGGAAACCCGATCGATTGGGTCATTTGCCTCTCTGCCACCCACTCAGCATGCCGATCCCTTGCCTCTCTCCTCCAAGTTGCCATTTGACACTGTTGAGAAAAACAAAGGCCCGCCTATTCAGAAACTGCCTGGTGTACCTTTTACTCCAAAAAAAAGTGCCGTCGCTCCCTTTCTCCCTCCCACTTTCCCTCAGAGGGCGCTCAATTTCTTTTGTTTGGACTGTCCAAAGTAGCAGGTTTAGTGGGACCACCACATAATTCCAACTTTCGAGGATTTGAAATTCCAGTGAACCTGTCCCTCGAACACTAAGCCCTCCCTAAACCCCAAAATACATCTAACCCCTCTCCTAAACCCACTAAACCCACCGTAAAGCCCACCATAAAGCCCACCATCCAAGCCCGCTTTTCCCTCTCAGGCCGCGGTTCTGGCCAGTCTACGGGGATTCGAATTCGCGATCGGATCGCCGGAGAGCTCGATCCATCAGAAACCCTCCTTGCCGTCGAACCTCAGCATAGAGTGACCGAAATCCTGCAAGAGACCTGCCTGACTCGTCAAACAAGAAATTCCGACGACGAGCAACCCAAAGGGGTATTTTCTCAAATGCCTGGGTGTGTGGTCTTGCAGAAAGGAGCGGCAAGGATGCCTCAAGGTTCAGGCAACCCTCAACGGCTTGGATTGGTGGCAAGAGGGAAGCTGAGAGGTTGTCAACACAGATCTACCCATCCTAGTCCAGATACCAAACCCCACCACCAGCTACACTTCGCACTCACTTCGGAAATTTCCCTGGGCCCCATACTTGGGGTTCCATGTGCTCATCGATTGTTACTCGCACTGCAGTGAGCAACCGGAAATCTTCGGAAGTTGACAGCTGGTTGCAATCTGCCTTGCGTGGAACCCTCCTTTGAAAAACACCTTGAAGCCAGATGTGCAGATGGCTGGCACTGGCCATCGCCCTTCCGTTAAAAAAATGCGCCCAAAAGGGCCATGGGTATCACTATGCGTCAAATCATTCGGGCTTCCATTCCCACCAACCTGGTTCTTCTCACTTCCCCCAAAACGAGGTCTGCACTTTTTGCCTACTGAGCGATCTTCATTGGAAGGGTTTGCACCTCACAAAGCGTGTTTTTAAGGCTCCACCATTCTTAGGGCACAGCTGGGAAACCAAAGCGTCTCCGGTGTTTTGGCCTCGCTTGATTACGTAGTCTTCGCGGGATTTTTCCGCTCCCGCGGATGGAAAGGTCGGATTTGGTGGAGTGAGCATTCGACGAGTCATTGGCTGCCCTCTCTTTGATTGACCTCTCGCATAAGCATTGGGGTGCTTGCATGTTCATCCGAGTTAAGTTTTTTTTCTTACCATGGATATGATAGGAGTATTCATGGGCCTGCGTTGAACACCGACACCTGGGTGAGTGCCCAAGGTTTCGAGTCTCAAAAAATGGCGCATGTCCAAGCTGAAACCACCGAGCCAAATCGGCAAACACCAAAAGAACTGCAACGTAGATTCGTTCGTTCGTTCGTTGAGCCTTCAGCACCATTAAGGCGCCTGGCTAACGCCATCAGTGCGCATGCAGGTAGAGCTAGGGCCGGCACAGTACATCTCGGTGAAACCAAAACTGTGGGTAGGCAGGGTGTCAAGCGCGAGAGAACTAATGAACGGTCTAAATATCTAGGGGATGGCGGCGGGTCAGGGTGTGCTTGGATCTGCCAAAAAAATTAAAAGATGGTTTGTCAGGGCTCGTGCTGCGGCGGTAACACCTTGGAACCATTACAAGAGGGTGCCAGCAAGGATGAGATGGAAACGCAGGCTATTGCTGAGGTGGTGGATTGCTTGTGCCCATGTGAAGCTCGAGCCTCCCCTGCCAAACCCAAGGTGAAACTTTTCACGGGCGGGCGCCGGCCGCCTCCCCGGCCGCCGCCCGTGCCGCGTCCAGCGCTGCCCTGACCCCATCAGCTTCGTTCATGTTGGCATCGGGCTCAATGGCGTCAGGGGGTGCGTCGCGGCGTTCTCGTCGTTCCCGCCCCCGGGATCGCTCGCGATCGGGGCGGGGGCCCTGCTTGTCCTTCCCGTCCTTCCCCTTTCCCTTGGCATGGCCTTTGCGCCCCTTCCCCTTGCCCTTCTCTGGCGCGTTGGCCTTGCCTTTGGCTTTGCCTTTCTGCTTGCCTTTGCCTTTTCCCTTGTCTTCGCCTCCGGCTCCCCTGATCCTCCGGTCTAGGAAGACCCGGAGCGCATCAGCCGGTGTGCCCTCGGCGGTGCGCAAGTACTGTGTCACCACGTGGGAGACCGCCAACCCCGCCATGCCAGTGCGTAGGCGAACCAGAAAGGCGTTGGGGCCCGTCGGGTATACGATGATGGTCTCGCGCGTCAAGTGGCGAGCCAGTGTGACCAAGGGTGCCGGCTCGGATACCAGCCATCCTGCCAGCTCTTGCGCCGCCTCCTGCCCCAAGCTGGCGGTCAGATGGCCCGCCACCCCGTCGCGCACTGTGGTGGCATGCGTCCCCAATGGTGCCGGGCGGGTCAGGGTAGCTCCGAACTGAGCGATGAGGGCCCGGAGTAGGATATCCGGCACCTCTGTCGGCAGATCATGGAGCTGGCGGCTAGCCTGAAGCTCGCTGTAGCGAGTACTGAGTTCCGGGAGGTTCAGGACAATGAGGCGGTAGGGTTGGAGCAGGAAATCCGTGTCCCTGCGCAGCATCTGTGCCTCTGCAGCCATATTTTCTGTGACGTAAGTCTGGGCAGCGCTCTTGCTCTGGTGGGTTTGCAGCTAGGAGCCAAAAGTTGCGGGATCGGTCGTCCGTTTCGAGTGAGATCACAGTCCTCCGAAAATGGGCATTTAGGGGAATGGGTAGGGGAGTGGTCCGGGGCAGAAATTCAAATCCGAAACATTAACCGCGGCCTGGTACGCCGGGGGGCGGCTGAACTGTTTGCGGAGAGCCGCACTGCGCCAGAGGACGCTGTTTTGTGCCAGAGGGCACTAGGTCGGTCGGAAACAACATACCGCCTTGCGCCAAAGGACGCTGTCAGTGTATGGTGTGTCTGTGTAGTTGTTGTTGTTGTGAGTCTCTTGTTTCGCGGAGAGCCGCGGTGCGCCAGAGGACGCTATCAAGAGTTCCCTTTGTTGCCGCCCTATTAGCTTACACCTGGGCTGAGCGGAGAGCCGCCGTGCGCCTGAGGAAGCCGCCCTACGCCTGTGATAACACAGGACCCAGCAAACCAAGGGTTGGTCGTGATCGTGGAAGACCTATTGAGCGATCACCTTTCCCAGTGGGCAGTAATTGCAGAAGACGGATCAGCCTTCACGCCTGCCTTTCCCTGCGTTTTTTTGTGTTCGATTTACGCATTCTGTCGCTTCATGCGGCTCTCGTGTTTGCTTCGATCGTGCGCGTTTGCAAACACGATGTTGCAGCACAAGCACGTTCGCTGCGCATCGCCAGGTCCTCTGCATTGGCTTTCGTGAGACTGTCGTTGTGTGATAGACGGCCACTTTTTGTTGCATTTCCGGCATGTGAGGTTCTGTTCTTCACTTCCTCGGCATCCGCGTTTGTGTCGCTCGACCGCCTGGTCGAGTCGTTTCTTGGTTTGCCCCTGTTGCACTTGCTGCCACCCGCACCCGCACTGCCAGTATAGGCCAGCGCCGTCTCGTGTAGGGGCGCGTTGGAGGCACGCGCCTTCGTGGCGCGTCCGTTTGGCCATGGTCGGACAGAGTGCATCGCAGAACGTGCATCGCAGGTTCAGCTCCGCATCGCCTCTACAGCGAGCCTCGTGGCCTAGACGGTTGACTCGTGTGCCTACTTCGGTGTTGCATTTGCGACACTTGTGCGGCGGCAGCTCTTTCAAAGGCACCTGACTGCACTCTCGTTCATGTCCCGCACACACATCTGCGTGGCGGAACACTTTGCTACACTGTCGGCAGACCTCCGCTGTTTCCTTGGTCAATTCGCCGCTGTGCGGCTCGGTCCATCTCTTACTCTGGCATCCCACCTGGCCCCGCGCCCCCTGACCTGCAAGTCGGTCTGCGTTTTCGTTGCCTGGGTGCGCTGCATGTCCCTTTACCCAAGTCCACCGGACGTCCCTCGTGTTTGACACCTTCTTGACCAG